TGGGTTCTTTTGTTGTAGTGCTAATCCCTAGACTGTACTCAATGGAGACGGTATTTACAAGGTTTTGCATTCTTTCTGGTGAAGTGGCAATCATGACAATCATCTGCAAACCGTAGGTTGTTTATGATCCTCCCATTGATGAATATGATCACTCTGGGAAGATCACAAGCAGTTCATGCAAGGTGGACCAAGAATTTACAAACATTGGAGGCCATACACACTTCCCATTAAGAAATGGGGGATGGAGATTTCTAATCAAGGGATTTTCTAACCTCCATTATCATTTGAACAAATAAACAGGTTTATTTGTCAATGACAACCAATATCAATGAATGAAATGAGTAGTAGAGTGTATTAAAATAGTTTAGTTATCATTCATATCTATTAAATATTTTACACAAACACACTTTCAATCACAGCTATTAAAGACTCAAATATGGATGAAATACAAAAAAACTGTGTTCATGACCAGGGAAGACAACTAGAACATTGTCAAAAGCTGTAAAGTTAATTTAGCAGGTATGTCTCCTTTTAAGGCACGCATTTTTAATGCAAGGGGATATTTTGGTATCCCTGCTTTAATTTAGTGAGCTTTAGTTGCGCTGCGGGAGGAGACACCTGGGAGACATGGACGCTTTGAGGAGACACGAGGCTTGGCTTTAACATAATAACTCGCACACCTCCGACCTGGAGCTACCATGTGTAAGTACTGCTATACATTACTGTTGGTTTGTCTATAGTAAGCATTGCTACTATACTTTACTGTAGAGTTATGAACACAACTGTAAAACACAGGCATAAGTTAGATCTGCCACAGACGTATGTTTTTGTTATCTGCCGTGATTGAACTCGTTGCCCGGAAAAGCTAATGCTAATGCTATCAGGGTAGCCACTTCATTCAGATTCAGTTTTTGAACAAGAAAAATTATGTGTTTTATGTTTAGGGAGAAACAAACCCACATATTATATATTAAAGCTACACTGAGGATCAGTCACGTTTTCATGGAAAATCACTCAGCAGTCCATGGAGACAGCAGCTATAGTATGCTAACACGTGTTTTCTGTGTTAATATAAATATTGTGTATATCATTTTTAATCCCATACCGAGACTGGGAATACTGTATATTTATTTACATTTACTGTATATATTAGACATATATGAAATTATAGAATCGGCTAATTATAAAGCACTTTTCATACAATAGTTTATATAGATATACGTATAGTTAAAAAAGGAGATAAAAACACATTATACAGATGTTTCTTTTGTCATTAATAAGACATTTGCAGATGACAAAGTCCCACTTGCACAAAGATCAGTTTAAAGTGGTTAGCCATGCTTCTAAGTTGGTTATTTTTGTGTATATTTGTATTATTCTTCTGTTACTCCTCAGAGCGTTTGTTTCTGCTGCTGTGAAAGCTTAGTGAGTGTGTTCACAGTAAAGCGTCAATTAAAGTATCTGGACTTTAAAAGGTTATAACTCAAAAACTTAATTTGCTATCATAGATTGGAAAAAAGATTTCAAACACAGACAGATCAAAGGGATAGTGTGGATAAAATCAAAAGGAAAGATTGACAAATGTATTTTTGGCGACATTTTAAAACCAAATCAGCCTCTGATTTGACCATTCTACTGTGACGCCAGTTACATAGAAAATGAAATGTCCTCAGTCTGAAAAAGCGGCAGATGAAATCCCACAAGATTAACATGGGTAACACAACATAAGTAAATCACTTTATTTAACCTCTTTACATCCACCGGCGCGCCGGCGAGCCGTTTTTAATTTATTTATTATGTTCTGCTGGCAATAACAGATGTATTTTGAACACCAAACCCCAAAAGCTGTATAGAATTTTAAAGCTTAATTTCTTATCTACATTTATATAAGAGTGTAAACTACATCAGACTTTGCGTTCAAAAGATATAACACATAATGTGGGCACAAAATAAGTCACTAAGGAATACGTTTTTTACCTTTGGGCTTGTGCTGCATAAATAAATCAGCTCTCCTCCTGGCTTCTTATGGCTCTTTTTCTCTGGAACAGTCCATTTAACAATAATATCCACTTGTATTTCCCAAAGTATTATCCATTCTGGAGAAATAATCCAAAAATGTGCATTTATCTTAAGCAAAAAAAAAACGGAAAAAAAGAGCACAGAGGCTGTTCTTTCACTGTAAACACACTTTTAGCTTTTTTTTCACCCAAATATCTGGCATCCACGTGTTCAGCTACTCCTTATCTTTCAAACGACACCTTCCATGAATCTCTACGAGCTATTTTGGGTCCGCAAAATATCCCGTGAGTTGTACAAGCGGCTGCGTTTTGCATCTATTTTCTGGCTGAAAGATTGACATGTCTGTGTAGCCAATGAGGAAAGCTTTCTATTACAGTATGTATACTGTGTTGGGTTGTCTCAGTAGAAGGCTGCGTAATGGCCTGGAGACAGGTGCTGACGGAGCAGCAAGGATTTGACACTCATAAAAAATTTACCTTGACATTTTTTTTTTTTTTTTAAATTACATAGATTAGTAACTTATAAGTATCAAAAATAAAAGATATGGTTTTTATGATAATGAAATGTCAGTAAAGCAATTTGGCACAAATTGATGAAAAGGAGAAACTGCATAAAAACTATAAAACTTAGAAGTCTGAAACTTTAGACAGTGGTTGTCAACAACACAATGACCATTGGGGTTGAACATTGTGAACTTAAAATGAAGTATGCCTTTTTTAGGGCCTTTAGAAATGGAAAATTTTAGGCGAGGCTAAAAAATTTTTTTTTTTCCCAAACTTCAAATGATGTAGAGTGAAATAGGAATGACAAACATTATTTTAGTGTATATTTACATAAACTAGAAGGCTCTAGCTTTAAAACGATGCATCATACAAGCATGTGACATGTAAGATGTGGTTTTAAATAAGCAAAAACATTTGGGTAGGCCCAACTTTTGTGCACAAGCCAAAATGAGGCGGGTGTTAAGAGGGATTCATAAAAAAAAAAAGTGTAACGGATGTGATGGTTTCCGTCCATTATTCTCTAAAAATTAAACTTGAGAAAAAAATGAATATGGTCTGGTTTCACATTTAATTGGTTGACTATATGAAAGTATCACTTTGTTTCTACTCTGTGTAAAAAAATATAATGTGGACATGTGAAAATACGCAACAAACTAAAAAGCTCATTCCGTCAAATCATCACGTTCGTTACACAACATAAACAGGGCCGCTATAGGAAACTTATCTAATGTATAAACCAGTTATGTTCTAGCAACTTCTAATGGACAGAGGAGGTATTTGGATAGATGAAGTGTGAAACGAATCCTAAATGGGCTGTCTGTTTTAATGTATGATGTTTTTGTTCTTCTTTTTCAAAGACTTCTGATGAAATTAACTTTGACTGCAACAAAATCACACTCCCCCATTTCTCCTGGTTCACTGTTCACAAGATGAATACAACAAACTTGTATATGATATTTTCATGTTTTAATTAATCATCAGTCATGAATAGTTAGAACACTGTGGGCTCTGCATCTCTGAAGACATGTAGCAATAGCAGGACAGCAGCAGCAGGAGGAGCAACAATAGCAGGAGCAGCAGCAGCAGGAGGAGTAACAACAGCAAGAGCAGCAGCAGCAGGAGGAGCAACAGAAGCAGCAGCAACAGCAGCAGCAGGAGGAGCAGCAGCAGAGTCCTGGGCGTCTGCCTCTGACACAGGTCTCTTCTACAGTGTGTGCTTCATAGAGAAGAACCTGGAAATAAAGAATAAAAAAAGCAAACTTGTTGGTTTTATTATTATTTTGTTCTTTGTGTCTGAAGTGTAAAGGGTCATGAAAAGTGAGGTATTATTTACACAGGTACATATTTGTCCACAGTACTTATATTTCTAATTGAATACATTAAGCCCTCTATTGACCTCTAATCTGATATGATTAGTAAAAGTCTGTTTGCTTTTCAAGACTTCAAAAAGTGAATAAGAGCAGTTTCAGACATCTTCTGTGTTCAACTCCATTATACAGATTATTATAGATCCATGGATGTTCCTCTCTCATCAGCAAACATACATTATTACACTAAGACCTGATACAAATTACTTTTAAGTGATGCACCAGCGAGGGCCATAGCAAATATATCAAATCATACTTAATAATCATTATTGCATAAGTGCATTGTTTACATAGAATAACTTTGTAAAAACGAATTATTATGGCCAATACAATTGTTTTAACAGAGAAAGTCCATTACAGAAGTCTCGTCTTTGGTTTTTCAGAATTTAGAATGTAAACATCAGGGGAGCTCTCATTACATGTCCCCGCGTTTAGACCATAGACTGTATATATTAACGGACAGAGTTTTATCACCAAACAGACCTCAATAGAGGGGGATATATCTCGCCTCAAATGATATTAGAATTAACTTTTATGTCCTAATTAAAGCATATTTTAAACTTTTTACCTTCCATCATGGCCGCTGGGTCCTTCCGCTCTGAGTTGTGTTGTCACGTGACGAAGGCAACAAAGGAAGGCAGCTGCTGTCCAAATTCACTTCAGGTCTCGCTGCCTACGTCGCCAGATGCCTACCAATTTGGACAGAATCATGGACACTCCCTGAGGAGAAACAAAGACATGGACACTCCCTGATGCTCCATAGTCCAGCTCTGTTTCTTGCAGCGGTGTATTTATTGTGAGCACAGGTTATTCAAAGACATGGACTTGTCTTGTCAGCGCTGGTCACATTATGGCCAGGTTACGGCTGCGCACTCGCTGCACTGTTGTCAGAACGTTGCGGCACTGGAGGATGTGGAATCCCATTTGAGGACGTACAGCAAAAAACAAGTTCCCGCAGCCTTGTACTCCTTCCCAAATAGTGACAAGGGCTCACCCAGATCCATGTGCAATTACACTTTATTCAAGTATGGCAAAAAGAGAAAACATGTTCCCCACTATTTGAGAAGCATTGCCCTAAAGTTTGACCTCCTGTGTTCCCTTTGTGTTTTAGAAGCCTCACCAAGAAGTACACCAAGCGGACAAGCAAGGAGGAGCAGGAATGCAAGTGAGTGAGTGTGTTATGTAATCTGCATGCTCAGGCCTTAGTGCGCTAATGTGTGCACGTGTGTGTCTGTGTGTGCAGATTCAGCAACCATGCAGCCTTCCAAGACATCCTCAATGAGATGAACGACTATGCGGGGCAGAGGGAGCTGGTGGCCGAGAACATCATGACCTCCATCTGCGTGGAGCTCACCAAGTTCCTGCAGGAGATCAAGCAGGAGCGCAAGACGGTGAGCGCAGAGACGTCATGGACTTCACTATGAACATAAGGAGAAACGCATCAGTTGGAGGAGGGCGTACATGAAAGCAGATCTTACAATGGGAGAAGGGCAAACAGTAGGAACAGGCTGTATATTGCAACCCTAAACTTGGTAGGCTTGGTGTTAAGCTAGCCTCAGTTCTAATTAGTCCAACACCTTTTTTTTTAGTAGGGCCTGGTCTATTTCTGAGCACAGGACACGTGGCAACAAGATGCCCAGCCGTGCGACAATAGTAAAGATCTATGTACATTCACATCTTGTGTTCGGTTGCTGTTACGTTGGACCTACGTAGCCACAGTTGGTGGTACACTCACACGTTCCCCTTGAGGAGTTTTGAAAATAATGTTGTAATCCCACAACCAACCACGTGATGGCGATCTCACAGGAGTTGCCTGAGAAACCAAAGCGGTCCCATTTACGCTGCTACTCTCTCCTCTTCAGAACAAAAACAATAGCGAAGCAAGCTGTTTGAGCTCATTATATGTGTTTTCTACTGTAGGTTTATGTGTTAGTTCTATGGACTGTGATGTTGTGAATAAAGACAGAGTTCTTGTTGGAAACATAGTCATTATTCAATTGTATTCAGCACAAACAGTAAAACAATAAGTGGTAATTATCTGAGACAAACATGAACTATTTACAAGTGCAAGAGGAATGCAACAGACGCAATAAGCTACGATTCAAACAAAGACAGGAACAGTGCAAAAGAAACGACTGCACATTTTATAAGGTATATATATGTTAGATATGCAACAGAACTCTCGTCCACACTAGGCTTGACATTCCCTTTCGTCTGGGGCAGTTCTGTCAGTCCTTGGAGAATTGGTCCAAGGCGCAGGTGCGCGCGGCCTGTCAGACACACCTTCAAAGATGTGTTTGTGAGTCAGTACAAATTCGTCGGCTAAGACAGCGGCATCAGAAATATTCTTAACTTTCTGCTCATTTAAATACACCATAACACTGTTCGGGAGGTTTCTCTTAAAATCCTCCAGTAACATAAACTCTGCTTCATACTGTCTCTTGACTGTCATCAAGAGGCATAGCTGCACTGATTTATAGGGCTTTCCCATACATTTTACATTGGAGCAAAAGAGGCCAAATATCGCGCAGCCAATTTAATGCTGAGGCGACGCGCTCAAATGCAGAAAAATAGGAATCTACTTCTCCCTCTCTAAAGGGGGGCACAAGTGGAATAAATTGGGCTGCAGCCTACGCTCTGAATCCAGGGCCAGGAGTAGGACTGGGAGGGAGACGAGCTTCAGCCTTCAGCTCAAGGCGATGCATTTTGACATCTTTCTCAGTCTCTATCTCGAGCCTGCGCGCCTGAAATTCAAGTTTGGCGCTGCGGTCCTGTTCCTTCTGCTCAGCTTCCATTTTAATGCGTGGCAGGCGCACAGCGCGTCGGGCAGCATCCAAGGAACGAGGAAAGGCAGGAGGAGAGTGTGGGTTGTACCAAGGAAGGGTGAACTGTGGGTTAGGCGGTTCATAAACCTCCACGCCTGCACTCTCTGCTGTTGGAGGAGAACCATCTGAAGGGTTAGCCGCAGGCACGATACTCTCATCAGTCCCTTCAGAGGCCACTGGTTGCGAGAGCAGACCCAACGCCACCAAACCATCCACGAGCTGCGCTCGGATCTCATCTTTTCTGCTCTGTTTGGAGTGCAAAATTTCAGGTCAGCTGGTGGCGCAGATTGAGAATCAGCCAGAGCTCCTATTGGCCATACAGGAGGCTTCCGGGCGAATGGAATCGTCCGGGAGGTGGGCCCAAGTTCCTGCGGGAACAAGACAAGAGACCCACAGACAGGAGAGACGCACAGGGAGAGGGAGGGGATGCTTGCGCAAGCGGCACAGACCTGGGGCCGTAACAGTGTACAGTGGGAGCAGGGTGTACAGTGGGAGGAGGGCAAGCCCCGGTGATCCAAGATGGCGCCCTATTCAAATAAATGGTTTGTGCTCTATCAGCGGCACACGGCTATATGTGTGCCAGCAGTGGACGAGTGGAGCAGCTCGTCCACTGCTCCTCCCGGTTCTGCGCAGTGGACGCGCTCCCATGATGCGTTGCGCCAAATACGCGTGTGGCTCTCATGCACGTGCACAGAGCGGCTCGGCCGCGCTCTGACCAATCAGAACTGCGGATCAGAGCAGCGGTAGAGCAGAGACAGAGCGGGAAGAAAAAGAGTTTGTGGCAGAAAAGTGTGGATTTAAAGAAAACCGAAGGATTTAAGAAGAAAAAAAGTTCAGGATGACAAGGGACACTATAATCCCCACAAAATCCGATCTTTATGAAAGCTGTAGGTTCTCTGTCAGCTGAAGTCGAGCTGTCTTAGTTTACATTGAGTTCTATGGGGAGAATTTAGTCTGGTTTAGTCTGCAGTACCACGGGCGCCCCCTGTGCCCATGGGACAGCTATAAGCTAGTAATACCCCATCCAGTTATGTAGATCCATGGAGGAGGGTGACAGTGGGAAGAGGGTGCACAGTGGGGGCAGATTGTACAGTGGAAGGAGGGTGTACAGCGGAAGGAGGGCGTACAGTCAGTGGGTGTACGCCATCCTCCCACATTATTATTTCACTCTATACAGTAAACTATTACTGTAGCCATGAGGAAGAGAGGCAACCAGTATGTTGCATTGGTCCCTCTAACCACCAGCAATCAGTCACTCACAACCAGAGTCATACTAATGTAAGTGAAGTGTCTTGCCTTAGTTTGGCAGTTTACAGCCACATCTATTCCACTGTGGCACCTGGTGTTCCCAGAGGTCTCTCATCACAGTAATAGCCAGCGTCTGCCCTGCTTAGCTTCTGAGGTCTGCGTTTATCAGGCTTTCACCTGCAGGTGGTGCTTCTTCTTCGTATTCAAACTTGGAGTAAATGTTTGGAAGGAAATCATTCAGAAGTAAGACGTTTTTGGCATAGAAGTCCTCCTCTATTGAAGTCCTTTTCCCATCAGATCTGACATCCAAATCTTTCCCATTGTTACCTCACATGGGTCACCCTGAGTAACCATGGGTCACCCTGGGTCAGCCTAGGAGCACGGGGAATTAGCTTGTGTACACGTTGGGGCGGAAGTTAAATAAACATAAACCTGACGTGTGTGGTTGTGTGTGTGTGTCTGTACTGCAGCACCTATCGGATGTGAAGAAGGCCCAGCAGACCCTGGAGAGCAGCTTCAAACATCTGGAGAGTGTGAGTGGCTTCTTTCTATTAAATATATTTAATTAAGTACTCATGTTTTCTCACAAAATTCTTGTCAGACCTGAATTGTGTCACATCCATGCTTAATGTGGTTCATTACCCTATAATTGATTGATGGAGTAAGATGGCGCCGGGGGTCATACACTCTCTGCTGGTTTATGAACGTCACAAGCTGCTAACTATCAAAGCAATAATAGACATTTGAGTGGATTATAGTTTTGACGGTTCAAACTACTTGCGTCCACCTTACCTGTCGTATGTCCCGGATTACCTCCTCCGGGTTCAGGCCCTGCTGCCCAAGAATCGCAGGCGGCGAGGAGTGTGCAGTGGCCTCTTAGTAAGTCTGAAGTCCTAGCTAGTTTGTTCAGCGAGCTGTTGTGTGTCCAGCGAGTATTCCTTGTGAATATGAATCGTGCTTCTGCCGGTTCCTCATCTGACGTCAGCTGGCACATCTCACCGCTGCTGTCGCTTGGCTGAAGCCTGTCTGTGGACCGCAGGACTATCCCCAGACCGTGTGCCGTTGCCCGTCTTGTTGTCACCGGGGATTGAGAGACGCAGACCCCACAAACCTCCGCTCTTTAGTTCGGGCCGTTCCTGGGGCTGTCGCACTCCAGGCACCGCTTAAGTGTGCACTTTTAAACGCAAGATCCGTGGTGAATAACATTTATCATCAGGCGGATGAGTCAGCCCCTTTTTCTGAAATGATGCTTATAATAATGCGCCAAGATCCACTGGACGCGGAGGTAGCATTGTGTTAGTATTATAGAATAGCGTGAGCTTCAAGCCGCTAACAACAGACTCATTTTCTTCATTTGAAATGAGTTGAATTATCCTGTGTTTTGTGCAGTGATCTACAGACCACCAAAGTATAACAAAGACTTCATCAACGACTTCTCTGAGTTTATAGCCCCAATTTTGACTAGCTATGATAAGATATTAATAGCTGGGGATTTTAACCTTCATGTTTTCTGCCCCTCTAGCCCTATGGCTAAAGATTTTATTGTAAGTAAGTAAGTAATCTTTATTTATATACCGCCTTTTCACTGCACATCGGAGTCTCAAAGCGGTTTACAATTGTTATTTTTGGGAGCGGGGGTGCCAGTACAGGAGGCACATGCCAGACCTATTGTACATATTTTTAGTGGTAGGGGAAACCGGAGCACCCGGAGGAAACCTACGCAGACACGGGGAGAACATGCAAACTCCACTCAGAAAGGCCCTGGTCCAACCGGGATTCGAACCCAGGACCTTCTTGCTGAGAGGCGAGAGTGCTATCCACTCAGCCACCGAGCCGCCGTGCCGTATTGAACTGATAGATGCTTTTAACTTTTCGCAACATGTTGATAGACCCACTCAGTTGCATGGTCACACTTTGGATTTGGTGATTTCATGTTATCTACCTATTGATGGCGTTTTTTTAAGTGATGCTATTATCTCAGATCACTGTCCTGTTTTCTTTAATGTTGTGTTGGGAAACAGTCTGGTCATATGCTGTCGCACTCCGGGTGCTCCAGTTTCCCCTACCACTAAAAATCATGCACAATATGTATGAATGTGGATGAGAGAGTGAATGGTTGGTGTTGATTGGGGGCATTGATGCACCAGTGTGTTCGGCAACTCGCTTCCGTCATCACCGTGTGTGGAATGATTGGAGCAATATCTGAAATCTTAACATTGTAAAGCGCTTTGGGTGATCTTGGTCTGTAAAATGCGCTATGTAAATGAACATTACTTACTTACTTACAGTGTAAGGTTCGCCCCCCTTGAACCTTTCAACATTTCGCCACATTTCAGGCTTCAAACATGAAGATATAAAAAAAAAATGTTTTGTGTCAAGAATCAACAACAAGTGGGACACAATTGTGAAGTGGAACGAAATTTATTGGATAATTTAAACTTTTATAACAAATAAAAAACTGAAAAGTGGCCGTGCAATATTATTCGGCCCCCTTGCGCTAATACTTTGTAGCGCCACCTTTTGCTGCGATTACAGCTGCAATTCTTTCCCATTCTTCCTTGCTAAACAGCTCGAGCTCAGTGAGGTTTGATGGAGAGCGTTAGTGAACAGCAGTCTTCAGCTCTTTCCACAGATTCTCGATTGGATTCAGGTCTGGACTTTGACTTGCCCATTCTAACACCTGGATACATCTATTTGTGAACCATTCCATTGTAGATTTGGCTTTATGTTTTGGATCATTGTCCTGTTGGAAGATAAATCTCCATCCCAGTCTCAGGTCTTTTGCAGACTCCAACAGGTTTTCTTCCAGAATGGTCCTGTATTTGGCTCCATCCATCTTCCCATCAATTTTAGCCATCTTCCCTGTCCCTGCTGAAGAAAAGCAGGCCCAAACCATGATGCAGCCACCACCATGTTTGACAGTGGGGATGGTGTGTTCAGGGTGATGAGCTGTGTTGCTTTTACGCCAAACATATCGTTTTGCATTGTGGCCAAAAAGTTTGATTTTGGTTTCATCTGACCAGAGCACCTTCTTCCACATGTTTGGTGTGTCTCCCAGGTGGCTTGTGGCAAACTTTAAACAAGACATTTTATGGTTATCTTTGAGAAATGGCTTTCTTCTTGCCACTCTTCCATAAACAGTGTCCTATGGACAGACTCTCCCACCTCAGCTGTAGTTATCTGCAGTTCATCCAGAGTGATCATGGGCCTCTTGGCTGCATCTCTGATCAGTCTTCTCCTTGTTTGAGATGAAAGTTTGGGGGGACGGCCGGGTCTTGGTAGATTTGCAGTGGTCTGATACTCCTTCCATTTCAATCTTGTTTCTGTTAATGTTGCTGCATTTGACCCGTGTGACCCTGACCCTATGGGACTACAGATGGAAATTAGCCTTTGGCTATAATCTGGCATGTTTACATTCATGGTTTTAATGTCTGTTCATTGACATGCACTGTCCCATTCAAATAAATAAATAAATAAATAAATAAATATAATTGCTTGCACAGTGCTCCTTGAGATGTTTAAAGCTTGGGAAATCTTTTTGTATCCAAATCCGGCTTTAAACTTCTCCATAACAGTATCTCGGACCTGCCTGGCGTGTTCCTTTGTCTTCATGGTTCTCTCTGCGCTTTAAACAGAACCCTGAGACTATCAAAGAGCAGGTGCATTTATACGGAGACTTGATTACACACAGGTGCATTCTATTTATCATCATCAGTCATTTAGGACAACATTGGATCATTCAAAGATCCTCACTGAACTTCTGGAGTGAGTTTGCTGCACTGAAAGTAAAGGGGCCGAATAATATTGCACGCCCCACATTTCAGTTTTTTATTTGTTAAACTTCAGGATTGTGTCCCACTTGTTGTTGATTCATGACAAAAAATTAAAATTTTATATCTTTATGTTTGAAGCCTGAAATGTGGCGAAATGTTGAAAGGTTCAAGGGGGGCGAATACTTTCGCAAGGCACTGTACTTAAACCAGATACAGCAGCATCATTCTCTCCTCTTTTCAATACATATGTCGTCTGTTTTGTGGGGCTCGACACTTCAGGGCTCAGAGGAGTTGACTTGGCAGTCCTGGACTTGGTTGCTCCACACTTAGCCATGCTCCCTAAAGTCAAACCTGTGCCGTGGATAAACACTACCACACGTGAGGCTCGGTGCAAGTGCAGACAGGCGTAGAGAAAGTGTGGGTAAGACCAGCTATATGTGTCTTACAATACTTTAAATCACAGGTGGAAAATGTACTAAAAGATAGTGAAAGAAGAGCAGGTCAAATATTTTACAGAATTGGTATCAACAGATGCCAATAATTCTCATCTTTTATTTCAAATGATTGGGTCTGTTTAAATCCGTCCAAATCCACAATTTTAGTGTGTTCTTCTGATAAATGCGAGCAATTTCTATCTTTCTTTATTGAGAAAGTTGCTTTAATTATGGAACATTTGGAGATCCCTTCTTGTGATGCTTTAATGAGAACGAGTTGCTCAGCTGTTTTCATGAAATTTGAGTCTGTTATTAGGGTCACTGTCAAAAATTGTGAATCAAATGGGAGCTTCTTCTAGCTCAATAGACCCTGTTCCACCCAAGCTTTTTAAGAAGGTGTGGGGAACAATTGGACAATGTGTGTGTCACATTGTAAACAGCAGTTTTATTTCTGAAATTGTGCCCTCTTTTTGTAAGCAGCCCATTATTGAGCCTATCCTCAAGAAACCTAGTTTAGACTCTTCTAATGTTGCTAATTTTTGGCCATCTCAAAGCTTCGCTTCTTTGCTAAATTTTTAGAATTTTTTTGACTCAATTGGACGACCATGGCATCTTAGAATGTTTTCAGATTCAAATTCAGATCTCAAAGGGCAATTCATTTGCAGCATAATCTCAAAGCAGAACACACACACTCTACACAAACACACAGTGACTCAGGCCTCACAGTTCACACAGCAGCAGGTTACAATATAAGTTAAAAACAACAATGAACACCACAATACCCAATAGTCAAACACCTTGACCAGTGTTGAACAGTTTTATGGCAGAGGGCACAAAAGAATTGAAAAAACGGTTTGTTTTCCACGCTGGAGCATAAAAACGACGCCCTGAAGGCATCATTACAAAGTCAGCGATCAGAGGATGTTTGGGCTGAGCCAGAATACATTTTGCTTTATTCAGCACCTCTTTGTGGGAGGTGTATTCAGCACCTCCCACAAAGAGTGAAGGTTCCTTCAGCGTCAGGCTTTGGAACCTACAGATAAAAGAAAAGCTTGGAAGGCTTTCAATAAAATAACAATACAAATTATTAAGGAGGCTGCATTTGGTTAAAATCCAATGAAAAGTCTCCAAATAAAAGTCTAACATGGGCTCCGGTCTGCTCCAGGTCTTTATGACATTAATAGGAATAGTTTTGTATCATCAACAACTTTTTGGCGTTGATGTGCAAATTGCAGTAGATCCAGTTGTACTTCTGTTGAGAGGATACGAGTCTTTAAAATATGCTCAAGGCTTCATAACCAGTGAGGTTAAAGCAACTGGTCTGAAATCGTTCAAATCCTCTGAGTTCTTGGACTTGGGAGGAGGTATCACTGTTGACGTTTTCAACAGTGTTGGAATATGACAAAGATCAATCCATTTTCGGACAAAACACACAGCTGAGCTGAGTGGAACAATGATTCAAAGTGCGACCACAAATTGCATCTGGGCCTTTGGCCTTCCTGACCTTTTTTTTTGTTAAACAGGGCCTCAACCTTGTTCTGTGAAACCTCAATTTTATTCAAAGGCTTTGTGGTGTATTCACCCCCCTGGACCTGTCAGACTTGGTAGTTGTGTGGTATACTGGACACCTGAAAATATCTCCTACGGGGGTCATAAAGCATCCATCCATCCATCCATCCATCCATCCAGTTTTTATGGCCAGACTCCCTGGCCCTTCTGTTTAAATGCTATTTTCTCCCAATATTTTAAGCCCTTTTGATTTTGCCGCATGATAATGTAAGAAGAATGTCAATATGTTTGAATATGTTGCAGACAAAGAAGCGATTTGCCAAAGAGTGGGCTGAGGCAGAAAAGGCCACGCAGCAGGCTGAGAAGACTGAGAATGACCTGAACGCCACCCGCCTGGATGTGGAGAAGGTGCAAAAACAAAATATTCAAAGAGGATTTAGCCTTTTCATAATATAGACTAATTAGAGTCTATATTAATAAATGGTATACATTGTTTTATTTAGTCATAGGGCATTATAATAAACAAAACACATAAACCACCTTTACTCAACAATAGTCAACTTTTTGCTGAACTGAGGGGGGCACTGGTCTTACCAACAAAGTTACTTAACATCAGTGAAAAGACACATGCTAACAACAATTTGGGCAAAGAGAGAGACGTAAGCTGGACTCTCCTGCTCAACAGACTCAAGTCTCCCTGCATGTGTGGGTGTGTCTGTGCATGTGTGTGTGCGCGTTAAGTGTGTGTAGCTCCACGCGCACACTTAAGAGAGGATAAGAAAAGATAGTCCTTTATTCCTCCCACAGAGGGGAATTTTGAGTGTCATCGTTGCACATATTACAGCAGAGAAAGAAGGAAATAAGAGCACTCAGATTGCACACATCAAAAAGAGTTATTTAAGATAATAGACCGTAGAATTAAAATAATAAGATGGTAAAATAGAATTAAAGAAAATAAAGTCTGAAGCTATAATTGCACTTGGTTCAGAAGTATTTACAGATGTGTATATTGTTCTTGAGCAGCGGGGTATATGAGTAGAATCAACAATAGTAAGAATATCAGCAGTAAAGTGATTAGTGAATGACAAGTATCAGATGGATGGATATGTAATAATTAGGGCTTTCAAAATAATCGCGTTAACAAACGTTAATGCATTTTTTTCATTAATCGAGTTAATGAAATTGACCCACCCATGCATCCCATAAAAACACTCAGAATTCCACGGACACTGAGCGGGAGTCTGCATCCTCCGTGGCCGCAGCGTTCTGACCCGGGGCAGCTGCGGCCGCTCTGGACTGAGGTTCCCACCTCCAGCGGCTGTCGCTTTGACAAAATGGCAAACAGCGCCGCTGTAACGTCACGCGCACAGGACTATTCTCTGCTTGTTGTGTGCGTGTCTTTGCGTAACCTGCGCATGATGCAATAAATACACCTCTGAAGCTGGACTAAGGAGCCTCAGTCTCCTCCGTGTCTTCTTCCGAAGCGCACTCGCTAAATTTAAAGCTGGGGTACCTAATTTTCCCTTCCACTACCAGTTCATGTTAGTTGTGCCAAAAAAAGTAATGGTGTGAGAAAATCAAACAGATTTAATGACATTCTGAATTTCAGACTGTTTTATTTCAAAACAGTCTGAAATTCAGAATGTCCTTAAATCTGTAACAAACAATAGTTTTGGTCTGAGTCTAAACAGAGAGACAGAAAGTTAATAATGTTAATGCCATTTTATGTGGATTTATTGTTGTTATAAAAAACAAATACAGTACATACTGTATGTACACCATGTTGTCATTTATCTTTCCATTCAAACAACCATTTACAGAAAAAGATGGCATCATTTTACCAATAGTTAGAAATGTGATTAATTATGATTATTAAATTTTTAAGCTGTATTTAACTTCCATCCATCCATCCATCCATTTTCTACCCTTTAATCCATTTCTGGGTCAGGGGGGTGGCAATCAGAGATGCCACCCAAGTCTCATAGCACCAGCCCCTCACTGACCCTCTGCAGGTGGTGAGTCCACAGGAGGACAGCTACTCTCTGAGTGTGAGCATAGCCTTGATCTTTCAGTGGGAGCTTTGGGCAAAGTGGGGTTAAGTGTCTTGCCCAAGGACACAACGACAGCAGTCATCAGTGGGAGTCGATGGAGAAGGTGCAGAGGTGGGAATTGAACCCACAACCTTCTGGCCTTAAGGCCAATGCTCTACCAACTGAGCTACTGTCGACTAGCTACTACTGTAGCTAGTATTAACTACTGTATTTAACTTAATAATGTTAATTGTTTGACAGCCCTAGTAATAATGCAGTAATGATGATGATAGGTAAAGTGACTTGTGAATGACAGAAGTGCTGGTGTAGTGCTTGTGAGACACTGACCTGCAAGTCTGCTGTAAGACCAAGTCCGTATTTGCGGTTCACGTGTATATGGTGAGGTTGGTCCTAGCCCTGTTCTGGATCAAACGCAACCTCAGACTTCTATGTCGGGCACTTCTCCCGCACTCTTTTGGCTCCAATGTGATCCATACACTGTAGAAAAACAGGGCCGTGTCGTTTGTGCTGGCGGCACAGGACGCTGGATTTTGTTTTGTGCGCAGGACATAGTTTTCTGTGCGCTGGGACCCCAAAAACAGTGCGCAGCTTAGCGGGAACACTGATGATGATGACATTATCAAGCCCCCTCCTCCTGGTCTCCTCCTGTATTGTAAAGGGCAGAGTGGCCAAAATAAAATACTCATGAAGTTACTGACATCACCTTTAAAAGCTCAGTCTCAATATTTACTATTGAATATCACCTCCTGTTGAATGTTTTGTCATTTACGCTGAGGCTAGTTGACACGGCAAAGCATTTATTTTATGTTAGCCGTAGCAGTAGCAGCAGCAGTACTGTATGATCAGCCCTTTCCTTTGTGCTCATAGGCCAAGCACTATGCGCACAGCCGCACCCACGTGGCCGAGGAAAGCCGCAGTGACTACGCCGCCCAGCTGCAGAAGTACAACAAGGAGCAGAACTTCCACTATTACACTGACGTCCCACAGATATTCAACGTGAGACACACACATATACATGCACGCACATACACGCGCGCACACAGACGCCAACACACAATTACACACACGAAAAAATGCATATACACTTGCATATAAAATAAAACATGAAATGCAATAATGAAATGGAAGATCAATTTTTTTTTTTTTTTAGTTAAACAAAACAACATGAACATACATACATGGGGGGAAAGGGGGGGGGGGGGACTTCCGTGTGTGTGTGTGTTGTTTATTATTTACTTTTTTATTTTTTTGTGTGTGCATTGATTGATTATCAAAGCATATTGATGGGAATTGGTGGTATGGTGTAAGTTACCCGAGATGAGAAAGGCAAAATAACAATGACAACAACAAAAAAAGAAGAAAATAACAGCAATAGCGACAATGGTGATGAGGATGAAGATAAAAATTACGACAATACTAGGGTCCTTAACAGTAGCATTACTATACATCATCATTGTAGCATCTTGACAAAATACAATTTCTTGAGTTTTGAAAATTTTAGAACTTTCTCATATCTATGTTTGGTCTTTAAGATCCTGAAGGGCTTGGCTCCTGGCTGTTTACAAACCTTTGTGCGACAGCGCTCTGGGAGTTCTTTAAGATCTACTCGAGCAGCTTCTCTACATGATTGCATTGTACCTTTCCGTCATTCCACCTTTGGTCAATCAGCGTTTGCAGTGAAGGCTGCTAAACTGTGGAACCAACTACCTGACAATATAAAGACATGCACGACCATCAAGGGCTTTAAAACTGAACTCAAAAAGCATCTAAAAAGTAGCCAGCATTGTACACACTAGCCATGCCAGCCCTCTTTGGTTTTTACACTCCCTCTGGTACTGACTTATTTGTCTGTATTTGTGTTGTTGATGTGTCTTGTCTGGGTTTTATGAATCTGTAATGTTGTATGTGGTTTGTCTTTCCTGGTCGACCCCTTGTCTTGTGAATCTTGTCTTTTTTCTGTTATGGGTCGTCCGTTCCCTGCCAGGGACTGCAGATGTAAATTGCACTCTGGTACAAACTCTGGTACAATGCATCAAATGGCAACATTTATGTTATAATTGTACATGGTCCCTTTTAAATAAATAAACTAAACTAAACTATTGGCACTCTTCCGACAGCATTCCCCAAAAGTTTGTCTGTGATTGTGTGGTGCATTAAAAACCCGCGTGAGGTGTTGTGCATTAAAAAGGCATATGCCTGAGATGCATGTGGGAAGAGAGTCCATATGTATTATTCATTATACAATGTGTATTATTTAATATAAATATTCTTATTTATTATTGTTGCTTCCTCACCATCATCGTTCCCTATTGCTTAGTCTATATAATCAAATATGATAAAACATGTATATATATAATAAGTGAGCAAAAAGTGGTGAAGGTTTGCGTTGTTAGTCATGTTGTAGCTGTTGTTACATATTTGGGTCCAGAAGCTGGCATCAGGGACAATTCCAAGGTCTTTTTCACATTTTTCTGTTGGTAAAGCAACTGTATAATCTGAATGGGTGATGATTCTGTAGATGGTAGCAGTTAGTTTTTTTGGAGTCTTGATATTTAGTAATCTTGTAATTGGTGGGGGGAGAGTGAGATCTATATTTTTTGTGTCATATGATTTTTGGATGATTGATTTTAACTGATGGTACTCGAGATATTGTGTGTCCCTGATGCCAAACTTCTGGACCAGGTGCGGGAATGAAACCAGTGTGTTGTCTGAAACCAGTGTGTTGTCACACATTTGTGTGTTGAAGATCACATTTAAAGAACAACATGAAAATAGAAACACACTGAGAATAATAATAAAAAGTGTCAGTTTTGTCAACAAGATAATGATGAAAATATTTTATCTATGTGTTTTTTTCTGGACAAAGGCAAGACAAAAACCCAATGAAAATGAAAATAATAACTCAAACAATCACAATAAGGAACCTGATGAAAATCTGCGAGGTTAAGAAGCGGAGAGCCTTGTAACGCGGTGCAGAGATGAAAAGTTTTTTATATTAATTAATTTTGCTAACATAACTTATGGCTATGTTATGTTTAGTTTTGTTATCTATGTCCACAATATCTGCTAGAGCTACAGGTCCAACATACGCACAAGTACAAAGATAATAAAGCTACAGTGCCTTGCGAAAGTATTCGGCCCCCTTGAACCTTTCAACATTTCGCCACATTTCAGGCTTCAAACAAAGATATTAAAATTAATTTTTTTGTCAAGAATCAACAACAAGTGGGACACAATTGTGAAGTGGAACGAAATTTATTGGATAATTTAAACTTTTTTAACAAATAAAAAACTGAAAAGTGGGGCGTGCAATATTATTCGGCCCCCTTGCGCTAATACTTTGTAGCGCCACCTTTTGCTGCAATTACAGCTGCAAGTCGCTTGGGGTATGTCTCTATCAGTTTTGCACATCGAGAGAATGGAATTCTTTCCCATTCTTCCTTGCAAAACAGCTCGAGCTCAGTGAGGTTGGATGGAGAGCGTTTGTGAACAGCAGTCTTCAGCTCTTTCCACAGATTCTCGATTGGATTCAGGTCTGGACTTTGACTTGGCCATTCTAACACCTGGATACGTCTATTTGTGAACCATTCCATTGTAGATTTGGCTTTATGTTTTGGATCATTGTCCTGTTGGAAGATAAATCTCCGTCCCAGTCTCAGGTCTTTTGCAGACTCCAACAGGTTTTCTTCCAGAATGGTTCTGTATTTGGCTCCATCCATCTTCCCATCAATTTTAGCCATCTTCCCTGTCCCTGCTGAAGAAAAGCAGGCCCAAACCATGATGCTGCCACCACCATGTTTGACAGTGGGGATGGTGTGTTCAGGGTGATGAGCTGTGTAGCTTTTACGCCAAACATATCGTTTTGCATTGTGGCCAAAAAGTTCGATTTTGGTTTCATCTGACCAGAGCACCTTTTTCCACATGTTTGGTGTGTCTCCCAGGTGGCTTGTGGCAAACTTTAAACGAGACTTTTTATGGATATCTTTGAGAAATGGCTTTCTTCTTGCCACTCTTCCATAAAGGCCAGATTTGTGCAGTGCACGACTGATTGTTGTCCTATGGACAGACTCTCCCACCTCAGCTGTAGTTATCTGCAGTTCATCCAGAGTGATCATGGGCCTCTTGGCTGCATCTCTGATCAGTCTTCTCCTTGTTTGAGATGAAAGTTTGGAGGGACGGCCGGGTCTTGGTAGATTTGCAGTGGTCTGATACTCCTTCCATTTCAATATAATTGCTTGCACAGTGCTCCTTTAGATGTTTAAAGCTTGGGAAATCTTTTTGTATCCAAATCCGGCTTTAAACTTCTCCACAGCAGTATCTCGGACCTGCCTGGTGTGTTCCTTTGTCTTCATGGTTCTCTCTGCGCTTTAAACAGAACCCTGAGACTATCAAAGAGCAGGTGCATTTATACGGAGACTTGATTACACACAGGTGCATTCTATTTATCATCATCAGTCAGTTTAAATTATCCAATAAATTTCGTTCCACTTCACGATTGTGTCCCACTTGTTGTTGATTCATGACAAAAAATTAAAATTAAAAAGAAATGTGGCGAAATGTTGAAAGCTTCAAATACTTTTGCAAGGTACTGTATATATTGCTTTTTAAGTTCTTATAGAGAAAACATCTTGGTGAGAACTTTGCCTTCTAATGAAGATAAAATTTTAGCTAACTACAGTGCCTTGCGAAAGTATTCGGCCCCCTTGAACCTTTCAACATTTTGCCACATTTCAGTCTTCAAACATAAAGATTTAAAATTTTAATTTTTTGTCATGAATCAACAACAAGTGGGACACAATCGTGAAGTGGAATGAAATTTATTCGATAATTTAAACTTTTTTAACAAATAAAAAACTGAAAAGTGGGGCGTGCAATATTATTCGGCCCCTTTACTTTCAGTGCAGCAAACTCACTACAGAAGTTCAGTTAGGATCTTTGAATGATCCAATGTTGTCCTAAATGACTGATGATGATAAATAGAATGCACCTGTGTGTAATCAAGTTTCCGTATAAATGCACCTGCTCTTTGATAGTCTCAGGGTTCTGTTTAAAGCGCAGAGAGAACCATGAAGACAAAGGAACACACCAGGCAGGTCCGAGATACTGTTGTGGAGAAGTTTAAAGCCGGATTTGGATACAAAAAGATTTCCCAAGCTTTAAACATCTCAAGGAGCACTGTGCACGCAATTATATTGAAATGGAAGGAGTATCAGACCAATAATATTGCACGCCCCACTTTTCAGTTTTTTATTTGTTAAAAAACTTTAAATTATCCAACAAATTTCATTCCACTTCACGATTGTGTCCCACTTGTTGTTGATTCATGACAAAAAAATTAAATTTTATATTTTTATGTTTGAGGCCTGAAATATGGCAAAATGTTGAAAGGTTCAAGGGGGCCGAATACTTTCGCAAGGCACTGTAAAATAATAACTAATAACTAAAATGTCATGCAATAATAAAATGAAATAAAAAAACAATTCCAATACGATGACTAAAACTAAAATGAAAAGTCGTTTTAGCAAATTTCAAGAATTTTGAAGGTACGTTGTGCTCTCTTTTTGGAGACAGAAGTTGCAGGACATGGATGAGCGTAGGATTCGGAGGCTGGCGGAAGGCTACTGCCAATTCTCAAACATCGAGAAGAAGGTGCTCCCCATCATCACAAAGTGTCTCGAGGGCATTACTGCAGCCGGAACGCGCATCGATGCCAAGCAGGTTGGGAATTGCCACGGACCATGCGCATAGGGCCATAGGCGGCTACAACACCTTATATCAATATTCAGCCTCAAGGAGGACACACACAGGCCTATAATGGCGCATGTAGTGACTAGTATAATCAACACTCCCCTCTACAGGAAGAAGTAGGGAATTACATTCTGCAATACTGAGATCTAGATCTAACATGGCACAGGGTAACTGAAAGCACGCAGTTGCAAGGAGCATTATTTGGAAAGTAATGTATTTGTCATACATTAAGTAAGTATTAATAATAAGTATTTATACTTACTTAATGTATGACAATAATAAGTATTTGTCATAGGTAAATGATTAAGATAAAGAGATAATTAGTCCCGCAGTGGAGAAATGTCAGTGTCAGTTTCCGAACCGTAGGAATGAGGACACAGCACAGAATAGGAGAACAATAAAAAAAAACATCTCTAGCTTTAGCAATAAAGACATAATATTCTAGTGCAAGAATTAAGTAGTATCTGTACATGTTGGCAGCATGAGGGTCTAGGACAAAGGTCTTCAGGAGTGGCCCCTGCACTCCTAAAGAACTGAGCCTCCTCAGCAGGTAGAACCACTTGCACCATTAGAGAGGGGGTTACAGATTGCTTATCCATATTTTCTATTAATAATAATCCATAACGCACAATCTATATATTCTTTAAACCTAAAGTGCAAAGCTAGTCACTCTGGACCCTGACTCTAATCCTGTGTGGGCAGGACTCCATCCTCTTCATAGAGCAGCACAAGTCAGGTTTCGAGCGTCCGGCAGACGTGGACTTTGAGGACTACTCTCAGGGGATCAAAGCGTCTAGCTCAGAGTCCAGTTTAAATGCACCCAAGGTCAAGGCCAAGCTGTGGATCTTCAGCAAGAGGCAGAAGGTAAGGGGAGTCACAGGTGTCCACTCATGCGTAGAAAAGGTTTGTTATGAAAAACACTATGCAATGTCTGAAATGGTCAAAACTCAACAGCCAGTTGAGTCCTGGGTGACGGATCAATAACGTAATACCCTCTCCAGATATTATTATAGATACATGATTACAACCCAGTGCTTTACGAGCCTGTGCGCCCGCACATTTTAACTAAAAAGTGTTTCATTGTAGCAAAACTCCCATTAAACTGGATTAATTAAACACAACAAACCACGTATTTCCAAGGAATTCAATATATTAACTTTGCCATTACAAAACTAAATGTAAATCTTGCAGAATTCAAACCGGCTATCTCGTACACCGGAGACCAACAATTACTGACTCTGCCATGCAGCGGTTTCAAACAGATTGTTCCACTTTTTAATTAAGCTGAATGCACACTGTGATGTACATACAGGGAGACAAAGCACAGAGACTTACAGGAGCCTACACCCACATCCCCAGATGATATGGAGGATATTTGGGCGCCAAATAAAGTATTGTATTTGGACTCGCATCTTATAAAAATCTATTTTGAGACTTGCATATATTGAACATATAGATGGAGCATTAAATTAGTCTGACCAGGCGGAACTATTTTAAAAAGTGGGTCTGAGTAGACTCATCTGAATATTGTCTGAAAAAAGGTGGGCTCTCAAGTGAAACCAGTTGAGCTGATTGTGCAACGAGTCACTACTGTCGCCCACCTCCCAGAGTTTGAGCTCAACCAATCACAGCAACAAACAACAACAACGTACTAAAGTACAGAAATGTTGTAACCCTTTTAATTTCCGACATTTGTGGGTGAAATGCTTTGCGAGAATTCATCTTGCGGGACAAGTTTGTGTTCAATTGAAAGGTTTATAGACAATAATCTACAGCGCATGATCCCAAGTCACATGACTCAAGAATACAGTGCCAGTCTGCACCAGTAAGAGCAGAAGAAGCAGTCCTTGCACATGCTGAATTACTCATCTTTATTTGGGTTCTTTGATAGAATAACTATCTGTGTCTGTAAGCGAGATGTTATTTTGTGGCACATTCCAGAGCCCTGGTGCCTCAGGGGCCTCGACTGCAGAGACCTGTCCAACACGTCTACTCCTGTCTGCAAGCACAGGCAGAAGCACGCTTGAGAATAATGTGGCATTTATCACATATGTTCAAGGCAGTTCCAAAACCTTCAAAGTAATAAAAACATTGAAGTGGGTCATACTGTGTGACCTGATTACAGTGGCCCTCATTTATGAAACTTGCGTACGGCCAAATCATGGTGTAAATGAGGCGTACTCAACCTTCATCACAACACGCCAAAACACGCATAAAATTCAAGATTTGGACAACAATAAACATATTCCCACTCCCAAATTATAAGCTGCGTTTTCATTGAGCATCACATTTCGACATTTGAATTTGCGCATCAGAAAAACTCCTGAAAAGAAACCTGCAAATTTTGAATAAATCACAACTCATGATGAGGAACCTCTTCGTTTTCTTCGTTTTTAAATCTGACTTGTAAGTGTATTTTCATCTGTATGTTTTTAAAATGTGAAGCACTTTGTGATCCTGGTCTGTGAAAGGTGCTATACAAATACACTTTACTTACTTACTGAATTACGCAACAGGGATGTGTGTTTGTTTTTCCTCATTCACATCTGGCAAAGCAATGTCTTTTTTTCATCAGTTTTGTGCATAAAGCCCCATAAACGCACTGATGGTCTTGCTCACAACACTTGCGTACTGTCGGATCTGGGCGGATCTCACACGTTCATAAATCCCACGTTGGATCTTGCGTATTTGGAATATACACCAAAAATATACACCCTTTTCTGTGCAAGTTTCATAAATGAGGGCCAAATTAATAGAGCAATGAACGGGTATATTGTTCAAACATTGTATTTAAATCACTTGAAGCTTTTATTTCCCAGCAAACGCTAAATGGTCATTTAAAAGTGGCATTAACACTAGGACCGCCGCGCTCTAAACATACCTTGCACCGCCCCCTGCGGTCAGTTGACCGCTATGTATTTTGCGCTGATACAGCCTTTTGCCAAATTGATTGTTCACTAAACCAGAACTTGATGTTGCAAAGGAATCGTGTTCATAATGAAACTGTGTAAATTATTTGTCTAAATATGCTAAGTAATTGTAATTCTAGCCAAAATAAAAGGCTAAGACGACACATTGTGCGTGTACTGATCCATCAAAATTACGATGACTTTTCAGGCTGGATTTATTTTGTAACTTTGCAAACACCTAAAAGGTCGGTCACTATATGTTATATTTGACTCAATAACAATATGTAAATTCAAACAATATAAATTATAGTTTAGAAAAGCACGGGACCATAACGTCTTCGCGCTGCTATGCGTCTACTTCTTACGTCATCTCCAGACTGTTTTCTTTTTAGAGGCCGAAATCACCGTGGGAAATATTATCTAGATAATAATAATATTCGTATTGACACAAGATCATCAGCTAGGCTACCATCGCCAATGTACAATCTTCAATTTTACACGGGACACGTTAGAAAGACAAATATATGTATATATATATTTGTATTTATTTGAGACAAGCAGTGCTCTTTATGCTCAGAACAACATTATAATCATTGCCTTGCAGTGCGCGCTGTGCAGAATAACAAACAGTGTTATCTGAATGAAATAAGAATGATATCCTTATTGATAATGAGGGCCGCTTCTGCCCCACAGTCGCTCTCCTCCTGCAGGTGTCCGCGGGTGACGAGAGGCCTCACAGCGCTCTCTCTGCACTCTGGTTTGATAGTTCATCTAATTGTTCTATTTTATTGCGATATTGTATTCTGCTGTATTGCCTTCTTGTATGTATAAATATAATAATGTAATTGATGATGAATGAAAAGGCAGAATGGAGCGACAGCGCGCACACAGACACCTGCGTATGGCTGGCATTACGCACGCTCATGTGCGTTATTGCTTCTGGACTTGTTACAACACTGCTGCCCGTGCCGTGAATGCACTTTGGGGTTACGTTCAGATTTAGAATATTATAGGTGTTCTCCCCGCTGTCACTTTCTACCTCAAAATGTGACATCTCTCACCTCCGTCAGACTGTTCTCATTCAATGTCTTGAAGCACTGTCAGGGCTTCATACCGTGTACTTGCAGCTCTATTCATTTTGTACTCCTCCCTCTCTCCCAAATAATAATAAAAAAGTCCCTTTAGAGTCTAATGACAACATATTGATACATTTTTATAAGGCGCGAAAAACCCCCGGGAAAGGTTACTATGACAACAGGCGCCCCTGCGCCATGTATCTCCATGGGGAAGCAGAAAGGGCTGTGGTTTAGAAAAGTTAAAATGCGTGTAAATCTTGTTTTCTTTACTTTTTCCAAAACCAAAACACACAAAAATATAAACAACAAGTACCTAGTAAAAGTCATAAAAATTCAACTTCTGGCGTTTTGTTTTGAATACACTAATTAGCATATTAAAGTGAGTGACGGTCAGTTGACCGCTAGGGGCGCTCCTAGTGTTAAAAAAGAAATCAGGAATTTTCAGCACAAATCAGTCCTCTTGCCATCACAAATTGCTGTGGATTCAATCTATCGGATAGTAAGTATTCAGACTGCAGACTGACAAAAATGGCTTATTGACTCGAGACGAAAAGTTGGTGAGTCTTTTGGTCCCGTCTCGTATAAAGAGAGTTAAATCTGGGGTAGTAGATTTATCCATGACCACACGGCTCCATCCACGTCATGATAGAACAAAATTGCAGAAAGACAATGCAGAAAAAAATTGCTCTAGCTTGTCACAAATGTGATACCATCCCATGCCTTTGTCTCTGCTGCAGGTATACCACACAGCCAACAGAGACAGACATCGAGCACTCCCATGGAGGGTCAACTGTTAGTGTCAATTTGGCACCTCAGCCAATTAATTAATTAATTGTTTATTTTGTTGGGACAGTGCACGGTAATAAACACACCTCTCTTGGGCCCTGGGATAATTTGTATCCGTTTGTAGTGGTAGAAAAAAACGGAGTACCCAGAGGAAACCTACGCCGGCATGGGGAGAACATGCAAATTTCACACAGAAAGCCCTGGAGGTGGAATGAACCAGAGACCTTCTTGCTGTGAAGCACAATCGCACTAACTGCTGCACCCATGGAAAAGAACTTGACTGATTTTGGTCAAAATTCACAGAATTTTTGGGAATACCTCTATAGACTGCACCATATCTAAAGTAAACTTTATGTTGAAAGGCTTCCATCGAGGGCTGGAAGTCTCACTGTCATGAGGGGGTGGGTGTGACTAGCAGCAATCCCACCATAACAAATCTTTTCTAAATAGTAATTGGACCAAAGTAAATGTACAGTACTTGGATGCTAGTGGCTGCCGTGTGGCTTCCGTGTTTCTCTGTGGTCATGCTGGCTGTTATCATGTCTGCACAGTCCTGCACAGTGCATGCTAACATGTCTCCTGTTATGCACAGGCGTCTGGGGCCGACAAACACACGGTAACACCTTATGTTTCGCTGCAGTGGTGGGGATGCTCGCACAACACGCATAAGCTAACATGGTGATGGTGAAAGGATGAAAGTTAAAGCACATTGGAATGATTTCACGCTGCGCCAAAGAAGATTCAGTTTCTGAGGTTACAGTTATGTCATTGCATTAGATATTGCATAGTGTATGATAGTGGGGATGTTATTGAAATCTTACACTCTACACAGTTAATATTCAATCATTCAATGGGGTGACTATGAAGCTTGCTATTATTTTCAATTGTACAGTTTTTGAGCAATACAGTAAAATAGAAGAAGCTATTCCCAATATTTAGATGAATTGTTTAGATTGCACCCAAAAACCCAAGCACTGCTTCAAGAATATTTCTATTTTCTTTTCTGACTCTATTTAAACAATTTGGTCCATATTTTTGCCCAAAGGGGGAAACAACTTCTCCTAATGGTTGATTTTCAGATACACTGTGAGCTGAACCTGCTGGGTCTGTGATACAACCATGTTTTGTAAAGTGGCAGAGAGCAGAGCTTGGGACTGAATCGGGAAGTGCAGCCTCGACTCTTTTGCAATATTGCTTTAGATCAATATAAGATTCACGACTGTCGCAGAGAGAATTTTAGTTTGGGGCAATAAAAAAGGCTTTGATCTGGTATCGGATGCGCTTACACAAATGGCTTTAAATGACTTGAATTCAGGATGTGACCTAGAGTACTTCATTGGATTGAAAAAAGATTTGTGACGTGAACCCTTCTTTTGGTAAATAAGATAGTCACTGTCTTTTTTATAAATCATCAAAAATAATGTCAAAAATATCCACATGATTGGAACTAAACAAATCATGTAGTTAGTGATTAAACTGAATTCAACTCATTATAAATAATTTGGAAATTATGTTGGAAATTATGTGGCTAATCTGAAGTTATGTGCAATTCCATCAGCCAATCACAGGCGTCTAGGCCTGGGATTGGCTGATAGAATTAAGTTTTCATTAAAGATAATGAGTGATTTTTCGAAAACATGGCTTTGAAGTGAATCTACACTTACTGTTGATATTGTTTCCCAAATGATAGTCTAGTTTTGATACTAGCTTACCATATGATTGGACAATACGGTAGGCCCATACAGTAGCCCATACCATAGGCCCATACTGTGTTAGCTCATCCATGGTGCTAAGGTGACTGTGGCGTGTCTTCTGCAGCCTGTAGAATCAGAGGACTTCTCTCACCTCCCCCCAGAGCAGAGGAAAAAGAAGCTCCAGGCCAAGATCGAGGAGAGCACCAAGGAGCTGCAGAAGGCCCAGGACAGCAGGTGCCTTCACACTATTAGATCACTTCTTCTTCATGAATTTTTATTGGCGGGTGGCACTCAACTTAAAGATGCATTTCCACCACCTACTGTATCAGAGTGTGAACCAGAGCTACACTATCCTACTTATCTGAGAAAAATCACTACACAATAAAATAAAAACAATAAAATAAATAAACTAAACTCTCCCCATGAGTCCTGATTCCTTAAGAAACTTAATTATCTTTTTCACCTTCACTGTTGTTAAAACATTTTAGCGAACTCCAATTCTCACTCTTGTATATCTTGCTTTATCGTTTGTCTGGACCTTGCATGCCTATTACAATAAATCAGTTCATGCTCCACCGATTCTACCTCATTTCAATGTGAACATAAACCTGTTTCGTGTTTATTGACTATATTTAACGACTTATTCAAACCTGTGTGCCCAATTCTCAATCTTGCTCTCTGCACCTTACTAATCCTACTGTACACCACCCATCACTCACTGTGCTTTGTAACTCAGAGATGCCTCCCGGTTGTTTCTGTGTCCCACTCTGCCTGCCATTCTGCCTTAATACTACGTAGTGTTAAGGCAGAGTGGCAAAGTCTATTATTAATAATAGACTTTGCCTCTTGCTTGCTGGCCGCTACTTCCATAATAAAATCATTAGACGTCAGTGCCTGCTTTGCTAGTTGGTCTGCTTCCTCATTGCCACGTATCCCTCCATGTGCAGGAATCCAAAAAGCACTATCTTATAGCCTCTTCCATGGAGCCCATACAAGCTTTCATAAATGTCATTAACTGGCGAGCCTTCAACCCACTCTAAAACTGAAGAAATTGCTAATATTTCCTTTGTAAACATTTGAAACTGTCTCTTTAAAAGCTACTTTTAGAGCTGGGATAACAAAATCAAAGGCACCCTGTATTCGGTTCCTTTGAACCGTCCGTACATATGGCAGTGCATTCCCTAAACAATGTTTCAAGTCTATCTTGTACCAATTTGTCTATACCTTTGTAACTGTCTTTTCCCCAGAAAGCCTAGATCCACTGAGACTGCTGGAAACTCCCATGGAGGGGTAACAGTCAATGGTGCTGTCACAGCAAAACGTTTCTGATCCAGCATTATGTCTTGTGCCATTTGCTGACTTGGATAACTTCTGCTCAATACGCTTTCATTTATGGATATTTAATGTATTGTCTCACACTTTACAACTTAGAATGCACAATTTCCTTTTCTGTTTTTAATAGTTTTTCAACATTTGATGAGTAAATTGTTTAAATCAGTGATTTTCAACTGGCAGGTCATTAGCTTATTGTTCTAAACTGATTGATAATAGGGCATAGTTAGGGATGCTGTAAATTACTTATTCAGACCCAATTTTTTAAATACTTTGGGGAAACGTCCCTAAACCCCTAAAGTAGTCAAGTTATAGTGTGTTTTCAAATGGGAATGGACGCTACTGTTGCCTCAAAAAAAAAAATCATAAATATTTTGGAGCGGCCCGATAGAACGAAACCAATGGCATCCATTAATCTACCCCCCCTCCTACTTTTTGTCAGTGTGTGCACCTGAGTGTCGGATTTTCTAAAACGTCTACAATGGCTAAACAGAAAACTCCCAAAGTGCCTATTTCACCCACTCATCCTGTTGTGGCAAAGAAGAGGAAAAGGCGTTGTATAAGAAGACTCCAGACGCAGCCAAGGCTGAGTAAAACAGGCAGTCGAGTTTTGCGAATTGCTAGGTTGTTCGGGGAAGCTAGCGCTTGTCAAGCATGGCAGGCAAATTGCTATACTTGACACTCATAGAAGTGAGCCCAAATTTAGTGTAATGCTTTCACATTTCAAGCTGGGAGGCTCCGTTACAGACTTATTACATCGTATTACAGAAACAGAGTTTATGTGTGCTGGGAGTTGGGTTTGGAGGGCCCGGGAGGATGAGTGGTTTTGACTCGATGTTACTGCTAAGCAAACCTGAATCATTTACTGCACCTTTTACATCTCAATTTGGTTTCTCCACATTTATTTGCTATTGTCATTATTTGTGTAGAGGTTTCAAAAAGTGTCTTCAGTGGGATGATCCTGCAGTCTTGTAATTGCATCAGTCACACACAGTCGTGGATTTGATGTCAGTTGTGAGTCCTGCTCAGACTGAACTGGGCCCAAAGCTGGAGTCAGAGCAGCTTAAAGCAGTCTACTTATACTATATGTGAGAGGAGCTCTCATGAGTGTTGTCTCCTGACAGTGAAGCCCTGGAGAAGATGAAGTCGGTGTACGCCACTAACCCGGGCTTAGGAGACCCCAGCAGCCTGGAGCCTAGCATCTCGGAGACGGCTCAGAAGATTGGCAAACTGAAGGGAGAGCTCGTTAAGTATGAGGTGACCGTGACATCACTCTGTCCACACAAACACAACATTAATGGTTGTCTTGTCTAGCTAAGACTGCTGTTGATGTTCATATCACATCTTTTCTTCAACTAGACAGTATTTCACAATCTAAAACGTTTTAGTTAGGCTTGACCAGGCATGGGCAAACTTTTCCTTCTGAGGGCCACATTAGAGTATCAGCCTGCTATCAGGGCCAGACCTAACCTCCTATGCTTAATGCAGGCTTAATTTTTTACACATACATAAAATATATTGAATAATCTATGTCTGGGCAGAGCCAAGAGCGCAACTGCTGCTCCAGAGCTCTCCTGGCAGCACAGATGGATTATAGTCTTTATACTATATCTTAGGGCTGGGCGATAAAACGATAAAGATTTATATTGCGATAGACACGTGTTCGATATCAATAGAAAACGGGGCCATATCGCCATATCGCCCAGCCCTACTCTATCTGTATAAATTGAGCTCTGCATCTGATCCCCGGGCTGGGGTTTGTCCACCACTGGGTTGCACAGACATGCACATGCACATACACCCACACATACGTGTTTGAATGAGGTAAGTGAGGTAGTTTTAGACTTGGCAACTGATTAGAATTGTTTTGCATAATTACATTTTATATGGTTTAAATGTTAGGTACCCCAGCTTTCATCCGCTGTTATTACTGATTAAATCAAGATTGAAGCAGAAATATATTAAAAGTTTGTCTGAAAATTTATATTTCTTACAAAAATGCTGCACCCCTGAAACTACAGCCTCCTGTACTGTTTGTGTGCAGACGTGGTTATCAGAGGCCATGGGAGGAGAGGACTCTCCCATCCCCGACACTAACCAGCACACGTAAGAACCAACACATCAATGTTGATCGGCTCAGACTCAGCCTGAGCGATGTGTGTCCTGGTGTTTTGGAGTGTGCGCTGGTTGCTGTGAGTGGAGTGTATGGTGCTCGCAGTGTAGTGCATGGAAGATTTTTTGTGTCATCAGATTTTTTATTTTAAATGAGCTTGGGAATTCTTCCATTTGAAATTATTAAACCTGAAAAAGCATGTTTGAATATTTTTGTCTTTGCATTTCTATCACTAAAAATTCAGTTTACAAATTGCAATGTGATTCAAATTTGACATATTCACCTTCAAAATATTCAATATGTTTTTTTTCGAGCCTAAAATTCAATGCTCTGTGAAATTTAATGAAAAATCAGACAGATTATTTGTTCCATCAGAAATTAAATTTTAAATTGACCAGAATTCATATATTTAAATTTTTCACATCTTGAATATTTTTGTCTACGAATTTCAGTCACTAATGATCAATTTCATAATGTTTTTCATTTAAATTCAACAGTGTAAATTCGCCACGGAAAAACACAATGTTCTTACGAGTTGTGTACTCTGTCAGTTGGTCTGCTTCACTGAAGTAAAGACAGGCTCTAGCTTTCAGCCGGTCTATCTGGTTGATAACATGAATCTAACAGGTTGATTTGGGATTTCTAATGAATGGATTGTAGTGTATCCATGGCGAATCACAAGATTATACTATACTAAAATACTGGAAATACAGTTTTAATAGAAGCATCACCACCAAATGCATAGCTGCACTTTGTCTCCCATAGAATGCCTTGGGAAGTTTTCGTCATTTGAACATGTGTATTTTAAATTAGAACCAAAACAATTTCCTCCAATACTCTTCATTGTCCTATACAAGCCACCGCAGTCATGTCACAGTTTTATTGATAATTTTACCGAGTTGCTTTCAGTTGTATGCACAGACTTTGATAGTTTAGTTATTACAGATTTTAATATTCATGTAGATAATGTTAATGACAGAAATGCAAAAGAGCTGAGTTCTATACTTGAATCCTTTGATCTCAATCAGCACATGAATGGCCCCACCCACAGCAGAGGGCACACTGTAGATCTGTTAGTTTTAAGGGGGTGAATATTTCAAATGTAAACGTAGTTGATGTTGCTAGGCCTGTCGCGATATTCAATAAATCAGTCGCATGATAAGTAAAATTAGTTCGATAATTTTCCTGGCCGCAATAAACCCCATTTGCATGCTTGTTTGTTTTCCCGTCTCTCTCTCCCTCTCTCTCTCGGGTCAGAGAGTGGTCAAAGGAACATTAGCGGTCTTGAGAGCAAACTGAAATAACTCAAAAATACAAAATATAGCCAAAACAGGACCTAAACCAGGACTGAACCAGGTCTTAACCAGGATTGACAATGGGGGACACAGTAGTTGTTCTCATTCAGACTCTAGTAGTGACTAAGCTAGCGCAGCTAGCGTTAGCGTGTTCGCCGATGCAGAAGTACCGTTTAATAATAAAATAAACTTAACAGAGTTAGCATCAAGCTAGCGGCTTTTTACTTCTGCCACTTCCGGCGGTGGTCTTTAAAAATAAAAGTGTATTTCTCTTTGAAAATGTGTACTTGCATCATTATCATTGTATTAGATGAAAATGATCTCAGAACAACAATATTATCGCTTATCGCAATCATTTCTGAGACAATTAATCGTCCAGCAAAATTTGTATTTGTGACTGGCCTAGATGTTGCTCTTTCGGATCATTTTTGTGTATTTTCTGACATGTGTTTCACTAACAAACCATCAGTGGTCTCTGTAGTTCGAAGAAGACACATACACTGCATCCGCAAAGTATTCACAGCGCTTCAATTTTTTCACATTTTGTTATGTTACAGCCTTATTCAAAAATGGTTTCAATTCATTTTTTTCTCAAAATTGAGCTTAGGTTCATCCTGTTTCCACTGATCATCCTTGAGATGCTTCTACTGCTTAATTGGAGTCCACCTGTGGTAAATTCAGTTGATTTGACTTGATTTGGAAAGGCCTGTATACAGTATATAAGGTCCCACAGTTGACAGTGCATGTCAGAGCACAAACCAAGCATGAAGTCTGTCATAACTCGGCTCAAATAGAAATGACAGAAACACGCCAAACCGTTGCCAATTGGAATAATGTTTATTCATAACCAAACTTAATGTTTTAATGGGGTGTGTAAGTCTGTAGTGAGTGCGTGCGAGTGTATGTGCTGTGAAGGTAGGTCTGCGGTGTTGAATAGTGTGTAGAAAATAGACCACAACCTAAACGAACCAAAACTAACAAAACCAAACCAGGCAAACCAAACCGAAGGAGGCGGGGCACGCAGGTGGCAGGATGGGAGCGGCATGAGCCAACAAGAATGTCTGGCTTGCACCAGAGCTTTAAAGGCGCGGCTCCGTCTGACGCACCAATGAGCGCAGGTCCCATCTGCGAGGAGAGGCTATACGGCCTGGTAGTGGCCGTAACAAGTCAAAGGAATTGTCTGTAGACCTCCGAAACAGGATTGTCTCAAGGCACAAGTCTGGGGAATGGAAAATAAACATTTCTGCAGCTTTGAAGGTCCCAATGAGCACAGTGGCCTCCATCATCCATAAATGGAAGAAGTTTGGAACCACCAGAACTCTTCCTAGAGCTGGCCGGCCATCTAAACTGAGCAATCGGGGGAGAAGGGAATTAGTCAGGGAGGTGACTAAAAACCCGATGGTCACTTTGTCAGAACTCCAGCGGACCATCTCTGCAGCAATCCACAAATCAGGCCTGTATGGTCGAGTGGCCAGACGGAAGCCACTCCTTAGTAAAAGGCACATGGCATGGCCTGGAGTTTGCCAAAAGGCATCTGAAGGACTCTCAAACCATTAGTAAAAAAATTCACAGCCCTTGGTGACGTCATAGCTGGTACGTTTCAACGCTGTAAGTTGTTTACAATTTGGTATTTTTTCGCGGATATTCAAGATGTCAAGGCTACTAGTGTTTGTCTCCTCATTGTTGCTCTGATAGTCCAGTGATTGTGTCAATGCACTGGTACACCAGCCATTGGGTTCAATTCTCACCTCAGTCACATTTTCATTCTTAAAACGGCAATATATGTGTAATGAGCAATTGACACCTGTAGAGTGCAGCATTGTGTCGGACATCAATGGGGAGACGAGAGGATAGGCGAGTATCTGTGGCATAGATCCATGGCTTTCAATGTGTGGGCGTTACCCGTTATGACGTCACACACAGGTTAGAGGAATAGACAACTTAAATTCATTAAAAACACATTATTTTTATAAAATATAAGATTTTTTTTGCTAGAATCTATTTCAGGTCGACAATAATTGATTAACTGTCATGCAATTTTGATATCCACAATTTAAAAAAAATATACCCTGCATAAGGTCTTTAAGCAACCCACGACAGCGTGATCGCAGGGCGCTTGCTGCTGTTTGCTGTACGTACTTGAGCGGGATTCCAAATCCTCCATGGCAGCAGCGTTCTGACTCCAGAGCCACTCAGGCCACTCTGTAATGACGGCTCCTTGACAACAACGCAGCGAGCACGTAGCCGAACGTGGTCATAATGTACCCAGCGCGGACCATTCTCTGCTTGTTGCAAGTGTGTGTCTTTGCGTAACGCAAAATAAATAAATACATATTGTGTTACTGCTAGAAACAGAGCTGGACTATGGAGCCTTAAGGGAGTGTCCATGTCCTCCCCGTGTCTCTAAATTAAAGCTGTGGTACCTACATTTTCCCTTGCAATAAGGCATAATGATGTTGGTTGTGCCCAAAAGTAAAATGTGGTGAACAAATCAAACAGAACATTGTTTGATTTTTTTGTTTCGTTTTACATTTTTAGGAAAGAGCCCTGTGAGTCATTATTTGACTTGGACTGAGTGGATTATCTGAGTTGATCTAAACTTTAGCATTAAAAAGAAGCAAGTATAAAATCTCGATTAAGAACCACCCGACAAATGGAGTGAGTTCCAAACACCATCTCCTGGTTATGTGCACCCCTGGCCATAAGATTATTTTATTATTAAACTGTACATCCGCATCGGCGAACACGCTAGAAGCAGTTGTATACAGTCATGTGAGCATGAGAACGCATATGTTCACAGGGACTGTGTCCCTCATTGTTAACCCTGGTTTAGTCCTGCTTTAGCCTCTATTTTGGCTGTTTACAGTATTTTCAGTCTGCTTGCTAGACCGCTAATGTCCCCGTGACCACTTTGCGGCTCTTTGATTAGTTGCGGCACGAGCGTGGAAAAAGTTCGGCAGTGTTTATCTCCTGCGTGTGTCAATTATCCGCTCCTGCGTCTTTACCGCGACGTCCATGCGTCTCTACTGCGCAGTCCGTGCTTGCGTGCCAAGACGCACATGCAGATCCACGCTCAAATTGAAAGTCGCCGCAACGCATGATCCGGTCTGAACGCGGCTTAAGTTAGTTTAGTTTAGTCTTACCTTGAAGACAGGAAGTACTTTGTGGAGATTGGAAACTGTGTCTCAGATCATATGGCCTTGACCTGTGGAGTCAATCCTGGGACCTCTTCTGTTCAATAATAATAATAATAATAATAATAATAATAATAATAATAATAATAAATTGTACTTCTATAGCGCTTTTTTGGACACTCACTTTTGGCTTTACATAAGAAAAATAAGAAAGAAAAAATAGAAGCTAAAAATAAACAGTTAATTGCTGGCAGTTTTGAACAAGTGGGTTTTGAGAAGGGATTTGAAGTTCTGTAGTGAGTCAGAGTTCCTAATGTGTGGTGGGGGTGAGTTCCAGAGAGTGGGAGCAGCTGCAGCAAAGGCTCGGTCCCCCAAGGTTCGACACTTTGTTCTGATGGGAGTGAGGAGGTTGGAATCTGTGGATCTGAGGCGGCGGGTGCGAGTGATGGTGACAGAGCAGGCAGGCCCTCTGGGAATTCAAGTTTAAAAAGAAAACGTGCGTGACTGCGGGGCACTTGCTGTTGTTTGCTGTATGTACTGAGCGGGAGTCTGCATCCTCCGTGGCCGCAGCATTCTGACCCGGGGCAGCTGCGGCCGCTCTGGACTGAGGTTCCCACCTCCAGCGGCTGTCGCTTTGACAAAATGGCGAACAGCGCCGCTGTAACGTCACGCGCACAGGACTATTCTCTGCTTGTTGTGTGCGTGTCTTTGCGTAACCTGCGCATGATGCAATAAATACACCTCTGAAGCTGGACTACGGAGCCTCAGTCTCCTCCGTGTCTTCTTCCGAAGCGCACTTGCTAAAAAAAAAAAGTACCGGTTGACAGCCCTAATTGAACTTGAGATGATTAAATCCTAATCCTTTTTTTTTACTAGATATATTTTTAGAACTAACTTAAAAGTAATGCAGTACTAGTGTGATGCATTACAATTCAGATGCAGTAATATTGTAGTGTAATACATTATTTTGAAATCATAGTGATAAGTATTACATAATGTATTACGTTTTCTAAATAACTTGCCCAACATGGCTGTTTCCTATGAAAAGTGAAACTTAAACTTAATTGTTTTTAAATGAAAAGAGGTTTGTGACTACTTTCACTGCACACTTGTTCACTGTGATGCCCTCTACAAGTGTGCAAGGGGCGCCATGATATATTTTTGCCTGGGGCGCCTGATGACCTAGGGCCGGCCCTGAGTGTATCCATCAGATCAGTGAGTGGATGCATAATAACTTTCTCCAGCTAAATGTTGACAAAACTGAAAGGATTGTCTTTGGTCCCCAGAAACAAAGGCAGACCGTCATCTGTCACCAACAGTCTCTCTCCCTAAAACCTTCAAATCAGTCAGAAATCCAAGGGCTGACTAAAGACTGGACTCAGACTTACATTTTAATAGCCACATCAAATCAGTAACATCAGCAGCTTTTATATTAGTGACACATAGTGTCACTAATATTGATATTCCAGGTCGGTTCATTAGTCCCTTTTGAATGCGAGTGTGTAATGGTTGCTGTGGAGTGTGTGGCGGTTGGAGTGAAGTGTGTGATGTTTGTAGTGGATTTGTGAAGCTTTTGTCTCGCTGCAGTGTGAACACAGAGGAGTTCCCTGACCCCCCGGAGCCCCCTGCACTGAGCCTCTACACAGACTTCTCTGAGTTTGACGAGGTCTACGGACAGTACACAGTCCTCTACGCCTTTGACGGTAATCTCACATGAGTGTAAAGCCTGGCCGATTTCTGCATGTGGGGGATATGAAACAGTGTACTATGTATGACTTCCTGGTCCCGTTTCATATGTAGTGGAAATGGATTGAGGTTTCTCAATACTTTACACAAGTGAAGAGAGGCACTCTTATCGTGCTAATATTAGATATTTTGTAGGATGGGGTATCCGATTGACAATATTTGTTCAATCAATAGCCTGTATTTTGTAAAGACTTGTGGGTTTTATATCCGTTCTTATCAGTTCAACCAATCAGAGAGCAGCACCACTGTGACAAAGGTCACAGTCTAAGGGAAACGTTAAAAAACCTCCTAAAGCAGATTTAAAGCAGGTCGAGGGCAGGTCTAAAGCAGGAATTAAGCTTAACCCTATCCTCGGATCAAATTGAACCGCCACAATGATTAAAAAATACCCTAGATATAATATTTAATGATTTTTTTGCATAACTTGACCAGCCCTGTTTCATTTAAACCCTTTTAGACACTAATTTAGGGTTTGTTTGTTTTTTCTTTTAATCACTAGCGGGACCTTTTGATTAAGTCAAAAGGTCCCGCTAGTGACTAAAAGCTGGACTAAAGCAGGCAGTTTTGTATGGAATGTTCTGTCTGATATCTTTCCACTTTGCAGTAATCACAGCATCCAGTCTTACGTTCAGTCTTTTCTCTGCGCACAGTAGCAGTCAGCACCAGAGTGTGTGTATGTGTACAGTGGGTATGACGTTCTTCCATCTGTGCACAGGCAAAGACGAGGGCACAGTGGCCATCAGCCCTGGAGAGAAGCTCAGTGCGGTGGAGGAGGACCAGGGCGATGGCTGGATGAGGGTGCTCAAGGCCAACGGAGAAGAAGGCTACATCCCATCCTCCTATGTGCAGCCGCTATAGCCCAGCACACACACACACACACACACACACACACACACAATGTGAATTGTCACTTCTTCAGTGTAACAGGACTTCGACCTTAGTCACACTGAGTACTGTCACGCCATGAAACACTTATCCTAAAAAACTGCTGCCACTGCAGTTTTGCCATGTTTTTGAGCAGAGCTTTCAGATGTACTTACACTCCAGTTTGAACACACATTTGAATGTACACCACTTTACCTGCTGGATTCATGTTTCCAGATAATAATGTGACTCTAGTATGTGCCTTAACTGGACGAAACCACTAGCTTGTATACAACGCACGGAACATAGCATTCCTAAATTAATGATATGCATAAAGTCATGTACATGTATACTTATGTATTTTAAGCACATTTCTAATGCCGTCGTGCCCTTGGTTTGAAACCATCACATGCTCCTGATACACATGCTGAGGCCAGTTGTAAAATGGAGAGAATGAATATTATGCACTGCTGGATCCTTAAATGGTCCCGTGGAGTTTCAAAATGTTAGAAGAAATATGAGAGACTGACCCAAAACATGTAAAAAGGCTTTTTATGGACTATTCCACTGGAGAGCAGCTCGGCTCAGGATGGGTCCAGAACATGGCTGTGTACAACACTCGTGCAGCATGTTTATTATTTAATGTCTCATTCTTTGTCTTTGCATTTTTAAACTCTACTAGAATCTTATTAAGATCAATCAGGGCGATATGTGAATTGTTGCAAATTTTCATATGGTATTCCCACTCAGAGCGGTCGTTAAGATATTTGTGCTGTTACCACAGATACTTATAATTCATGTCTTAATGCTTTGTTTTGAGTTGAGTTTGTTTTGACTGAAAAATAAAATTTGTCATTGAAGCTAATCCAGATTTTAAAGTTACTCTATGTATTTTTGTTTGGTGGGCCCTTTATGTCTGAAAAATGTTCAGGGACAAATACAGAAAAGATTTTCAGTCACAACATCCTCAACTTTGAGAAAAGATTTTAAGTGACACTTTTGTTTTCCCAACCGGTTTTGTACAACATATTTTATTCCTCTAGTTCATCTTCCTGACAGGGAAAACAAGCCAACTATGCAATTTTACAAATGTTATAAAAAAGAATAAAATATTTCTATATGTTTATTCTCATTGTATAATAGATTTTATACAGAAGAATTTATCCATTTTATAGTGACTACCTGTATGTATGAGCGGAGGAGAGGATTCTGCTGTACAGTGAGAAAGATGACCCTTGTATTTAGCATATTATTGCATAGTTTTAGATCCGGTTTTACAATGTGCTAAATACAAGTCCTTTTGAGTGAGCACTAGCGACGTGTTCAAAGCATTGGTCTGAAAGTAGAGACTGAACAGTGACCATGGAAGAAGGAGGAACACAAGGCGGCAATAAAAAACAGGCCTTGTTTATCCTACAGACATAGATTTGAACTTATAGATAGTGGCTTTATCATGTTCACGTTGACAGCATAGGCATATGTATCAATATTTTTGAAAGAACAATCATAAAAATGAAAAACTAAACCAGGGCTGTTTTTGTATCTATTTCACATTATTGTATATTTCATTTATAAAGTAATTTAGTACAACTGAACCCATGTGTCTGTGTTTTGTTAAGCTGAAATGTATGAACCCATGATGGAAAACGCATTGGCACTGTGTTTAGAAAATAAAATCACATTTATTAAAGTCTAGTAGGGCCTTACAACAGGAGATCATTAGTGGGAGGTTCATCTAAAAGATATGTAAATTAAAGCTTGGAGACCTGGGGAAGAAGTGGAGTCCAGACAGAGGTGAGCAGAGAAAAGGCCGATAACAGACCAGATGTAGAGAGAGGGTAGGCCAAGTCCAGGGCAGGTGGAACTCAGCAGGTAAGAGCAGACATGTTTCCACTTCAGGAGGAATCTTTTGTTTATGTTTATTTTTTATTAAGCCCCACAGTGAAGCAGGAGGAATCTTTCCAAACACCATTGACTCGCACATAAATCCCTGAAGCTCACGTTACAACCGGAGATGATGCAGAGTGATGGAGAACATGCATGCACATGTCAGTGTGCTCTCAGACTGGTGCCGCTTGTGAGAACACACATGACTGTTCTATCAACTGTACGTGTTTAACCCTTTAAGGATCACCTAATTTCGCCTGCTCCTTCTTGAATTATGATACTCAAATGGAAATGCTTGTTGTGTGGACATCTTGTGTCTGATTTTGTGTTATGATGCCTCATTTGAAAGGTAACACCTTCTAGTTTCTGGAAATGTATGTTACCGTTTGTTAGGAAGGACCCAGTCTGCACTACACCTTCTCAAACATGAGTCAAAGTTAGTTTTTTTTTGTCTCGAAAAAAAAAAGGCAATTTCAAAATAATCTCCTGAAAACATACTTTATGGTATGTTGTTCAAACTCACCAGAGCAGATGTCTGTGGTGTTGGAAACAAGTGTAGGAAATTTTAGACCTTTAGGTGGAACCATTTTGATGCTGGGGGCTTTTTTGTGACTAATGGGCACATTCGGCACAAGTGGTCCATTTTTGTGCCAATTGTGCCAAAGTGTTTTACATGCAAATTATCAATGTTTTTACACCAAAAATCAAATTATATCATTTTTTGGCTATTACTCTGGCTATGAATAGGATTTTTTCCAGATATTGAAATGTTTGCAGAAAAGCTATTATTTATATAGATATAGCGCGTGTTCTCCGTGAAAATGCTCCGCCTTCCTCTCTTACGCATTCAAATAAGACTCGAACAGTGGGAGGAACCTTGAAGTCCGACACATCGCCTGAAACCTGAGATTATTGGCTACAAGATGGTTTGATTGACATCCAAATCGGCCAATGGTAGTCAAGACAATGCTGTCGTGACGCACAGATATCTATATGACTGGAGCGGTAAAGTTAGGTGCGCTTGTTTTAGTCAACTTGATCTACCTCCCAAACCATAGCACTGAAAAGTTTGGGAATGGGCTTGTTTTGAAGGGAAGACTGAGACGGAGACGAACATACCCAGTGACGCTAGGTAAATAGTAACATGCCTACTTCATACAGTGCGCAAAGAACAGGTTTTATTTTCGTTTGTGCAACTTTCAATACTCAAATGTGTTGTTACAACTGGATATCTACTATAAGGATGACTTTGTAGAAAAAACAACTGGATATAATTATTTTATGAACCCTCACAAACAAAACAAATGCACATATGTGTGGATTAGACGTGATTTGCCCCAGAATATTAGCATGAAAAGGTAAGAAAGGACGATATACATTTTATATACATATACAGTTTGACTACTTTTTCTTACTTTTAGTTATATTTAATGTTTATTTTAACATAATACGCGTTTAGAGGTGGGAATAAGCTTTCAAAAGAGGTATAGCTTGACTATATTGACACAAGTGAATTCTAATACTGATTTTTTAAATAAAAAATATCTGAATCCTCCCTGTACAGGGAGGGTGATCCTTAAAAGGTTAAGGGTGATATTGCACAAACTAATTACAGCATTTTGTACTTATTTACTTGAGCAGATTGGACAGCACAAGCTCTGAATGGACAGTGCTACAACCTTACGTACAAAAAAGAATTCTTAAAATAATGGGAGTCCAGCGTTAAGTTATAGACAGATGACATTCGAATTCCTCATCTCCTTTTATGGCCATTTACAGCATGTGTTAAAAAAGGCTAGTAACCTGCAGAATTAGACAGTGTCACCTAACTTGACGTACAAACATAGAACGTGTGTTGCCTATGAACACTGCTGCAGCAGGAGATCCTCAGTGCTCTTCTGAGGCCTCAGTAATCCTCATTGCCCCTCATTGGTCCACTGTGCCTCAGCTCTCCTCGGGGGCTGTGTCCTGCTCCTCTGATGGCAGCTCAACAGGCTCCAGTTTGTCAGACAGCACACTAAGGATCTGCTGGAACTTGTGGTGCCTCTCACTCCTCTCTGCCGCCGCTCCCGAGTGTCCCCAGAGAAGGCGCAAGGCAAACTCTGTGCGGCAGGCCTCAAGCAGCTCAGACACTGGCTCCCAACCTGTCAGAGGAACCAAGGGCCACAACATCAACACCATATCATGGGCAGCGGGCTGCACAAGTTTAGCACCTCTTCAATGTTATGCCATTGTGTCACACACAAGGAACGCACATCAAAGCTGGACCACCTCACTTTGTTTGTCTTCATTAGGGAAATTCAATCCATATCCATGCAGTGCATTGGGATATATGTTTTTTTGAAGAATAACTAATGCAGGTTTGTACTGGAGTGTAATTTTATTTTAGATCGAGTTTTCGTGCAACGCAGAGGAGAATTTGTTTTGGGACCAGATTGTGACCAATCACAGCTGACCGATGGCCCCCACTTTCTTGAGAAAAGCTACTGGTCTCTCGTTAGCGCGCACAGACAGCTGAGGTAAATGAGCATCATGGCGGAGGTGAACCTGACAATTCCCGTGTCTTTGTTACCGGTTACTGCTTACACAGTGAAACAGCCACGCGGATGAGTGAGAGGGGGGTAGTTAGGGGTAGTGATGAGCGAAAGCTTCATGAGTGCGGGGAGGAGAGCAGAAAGAGTGAGGGCAGCGCTCACATTTGAAACGGTTGCTTCAAAGTCACAAAGTGAGTTAGTCCAGCTTTAAATGAATAAATGACTCAATGAGCTCCAAGCGCAATTTTTCCCACTAGAAGGCCGCGGTACCGAGCCTTTCAACTAGAATACCCACATACCCACAGGGTCAGGAGCAGCCACGCCTCTGCGAAATTCCCTTTTTTATTCAAATATTTATTTGAATTTATAATATTTGTTGACAACCCTTAATCTTTTTCTTGTTCTGGGCTGGATTCGCTGCACAAAGAATGTTTGAGTGTGTTTTAATGTGTGAGCGGTGTGTGTGTGTCTGTGTGTGTGTGTGTGTGTGTGTGTGTGTGTGTGTGTGTGTGTGTGTGTGTGTGTGTGTATGAGTGGAGAATGAAGTGTGTAGTCACCTGTGAGGAGCTTGTGTGTTGACCTGTGAGCAGAGTGGGAGTTTCGGTGTTGACCTGTGAGCAGAGTGGGAGTTTGTGTGTTCACCTGTGAGCAGAGTGGGAGTTTGTGTGTTCACCTGTGAGCAGAGTGGGAGTTTGTGTGTTCACCTGTGAGCAGAGTGGGAGTTTGTGTGTTCACCTGTGAGCAGAGTATGTGCATTCACCTGTGAGCAGTTCGTGTGCATGTTTCCTGTAGTCTCTACAGTTGAGGGCTGAGCTGCGTGCTGATTGGAGGAGGTCATACAGGGTCTGACAGCCACGGTCACTGTTCTCCACTGGGTCCTCGCCTTCCATGGCCATAAGCAGAGGCAGCAGGTGGGGCACTGCTACGGGGCCCTCCAGCACCGAGTCTGGAAACACGACACACCACAAGTACATACTTACAAGCTCACAACACTGTTTGGGGCAGGCTCCAGTGGTAATACACTGGTCTGGCCGCACCAGTTGGCAAGAGCTTTGGGTCCAGCCTGTGGTCTTCTATTTACCAGCGGTGTTTGCCTGTGGGCGCTTTAGAGATGCCTGAATCTTAAAAAGTTTTATTCCAGTTCAGCAATGCTCTGGTCCTGCACACATATCACCCATGATGTAAAGGTTCATTCATTGCTTTGATTGAGAGCTGTAAACAATAACACATCCATGGGTAAAACAACATCAATCCATATATGTACTCAGGAGTATAAGACAAATCCGTCAACTTAGACTTGTTTGGTAGTCTGTGTTGGGTAACATTAGCGATGCCAACCCATTTTCACTGAAATCCTGTAAAGAAACTACATTGTGTAGAAGCTTGAAGATTAGGGAATCAGTATCAGGAATTAGACCGTCGTCAAAATGTTTCTTCATAGCATACTCTATAACAGCATGACTTGTACATGATTAACTTATACAATGTAAATTATCCAGCTGTAACTCTTTAAACATGAATAGATTGTGTTTTTGCTGTTTTTAAAAAGTTTTTAAGTTCCTACCGTTGCCATCGTTGAGTGCGCTCACGAAAGGTTTCAGTTTTTTCTCGTACAACACTGCAGTCTCTGTGTGGTTCCTGCGAAGAACTCTCCATGTCATCTGCAGACGCATGATCTGTACACAAGCACACATACCATACACTACTTCAAAATCAATGTAGAGCTACTCTTTTGAATAGATTGATAGATGAACATGTTCAAATTGAATCTTTAATCCTGGGACCAAATCTCAGGATTCAATTTCAGGTCAAAGTGATTTGGTCCCAGGATTAAATTTCAGGAAATAAATCTCGGGCCTGCAGCTTGTAATTACCTATAGTGTAACGCTACACAGGAGATGTGTCACACTACACAGGAGATGTTTGTACCCAAGTCAGCTTTGCACCTCACAAAAATAAAATAAACCCAACCCAACCAAAACTTCCCACCTTCAAAATAAGTCTTCTAAAGTCACGCTACAAGTACCCAGGACCAGAGCACATCATAACGGCAAGTGTATCATCTACGAGGAGCAAGATACACTTTCCAAAACTATATCAAGGAAAGAGCAGCATGTATAACAGCTCAAACTCTTGCTAAACTCCATATTGCTCTGTTATAATGTCCCTTGTTTGTGTAGTTTTTCTATCACATGACCCACATGTAAGCAACGGCCTAGAAAACACTGCTTTTATTGTGTCTAAATTACTACTTCGGTCGGTTAGGGTGTAAACAGTGTGTGTGGTGTGTGGTGTGAGCAATGTGTTTGTGGTATGTGTGCTGAGTTTGTGTGCGTTGCTTGTGGCATGTGCGGTGAGTGTGTACCTGAGGCATTTCCAGGGCCTTCATGACAGCAGAGAAGGAGAACAGGTCGTGGGCATGCTCCTTCAGAGACTGGGCCAGGAGGATGAACCTGTGGAGGACCATGGCCCTCTGGGTCACAGTCCCAGTGCAGCCCAAGACGTCGACAGCCAGACCCAGAGAGATCAGCTCATGTCTGCACCAAGACACAAAACACACACACACAAAAGTACGTTTATAAGGAGGCGAGACACCAGACACAAGGTGAGACACCTAGCCCAATTTCAAATAATAAAAACCTGGGCACAGGTGGTCGGGACCTATAATAATCTGACTAAACTAAACACAAACATCGGATTCAAGACGCAGATGCATTAAAGAGAATGGGCGTAATTGGATGCATACAGGCGACTCACTTATTCATTGCGATAAGGCATAGATTGTTTTGCTACGTGACAGCAGTAAACATTGACCTTTTAAACAGTAAGCCCCACCATAACTAAAGCTAAGCGGGAAAAATGGTGCAAAAAGGTCCCAGCTGGCTCCCAGTTTTGTTTCGATTGATTTTAAAATTGTAATTTTTGTTTTAAAACCCTTTAATGGTCTTGCCCCTTCGTACTTGTCCGAACTTTTAACTGTTCGTGACTCAGGCAGATCATTGAGGTCATCAACTCAACTCCTCCTGCAAGTACTTAACACTAGGTCTAAACACTGAGATGACCGGTCCTTCTAAGTCGCTCGACCCAGACTCTGTAACAAGCCGCCTCCTGATATGCGAGTGCTTACTGATTATGGGCTTTTTAAATCAAAGCTCAATTTAATCAGACTGGCTTTCACTCATTAGCGCGGTGACACTTTTTTAAATGCTTTTTTTAATGCTCTTTAACTTTTAGTTTTTGATTGTATGAATGTTTTGATAGATTTTATGTGATTTTATTGTAAACCACTTTGGTCGCCTTGAGTGTTGTAAAGGGTAAAGGGTAATACAAATTGATTGATTAAATAAAAGTCGTGGATTCCTGTCGCCCTGGATCTTTCTGTGTGGAGCGTGTTTCTCCCCATGTCTGGATGAGGTTCCTCCGGGTGCTCTGGTTTCCTCTGATTGGGATCACCCAAAACTGGGACTATATAAAAAATCCTCCAGCTCTCGAAATACATTGTCCATATGGAGGGCTGTAGACACCTCTGTAAGAAGTGCTTTAGAACAGTGCACATGTCTCTGTAAGAAGTGCTTTAGAACAATGCACAGTGCAGTAGTGTTTCTGTATGAAGTGCTTTAGAGCAATGAACACCTCTCTATCAGGTCCTGTCGAAGCTGGTGTCCGTGCGGCAGTGTGACCAGCTCCAGTCCTGAGGCTACACCCATCTGCCTGCACTGCTCCTGTGTCACGCCAACAATGCGTGCCACCTGCAAAACATACATTTATATACAATTTATAGGATAACCCTGACAATGTAAATGAAAATTATTATTGTAAAACATAATCCATCCAGTTGATAATTTGACTATTCAAAAGTGAGTGTTACTAAAGCCTGTACAAACACAGCTTGTGTTTGTGGGCCCTAAAGTCTTTAAAGCCTCTAAAGCCTGTACAAACCTGACAGTCCACCCGCAGCATGTGCAGAGCTGTGGTGTTGGTGTCGTAGCGGTTGAAGAGTTCTTTCAGAGACGTGAGCACAGTGGGGTCCAGTGGTCTGTTGTTCTCAGGCAGTAGGGCAGACTGGAACTTCTCCAGCTGAAAACAGGACTGGCTCTCCACCTGCACAAGTGCTCTCACAAGTTTAGAAGATCAGGCATAAAATAACTGATAAACAATGTTATATTTGAACACCTGTGGCCGTTGGAACGTCCAGCTGTCCTCCTGCGTGTTGACCAGTGCAGTGGAGTTCTGGTTCTTGTGTGCCTCCAGGAAGCCAAAGGACGTCTCTGTGAGGTGGGCCCGGCTCTGCCACTTCTCCTCGGCCCTCAGGCGATCCACATGACCCCTGGGCCGCTCTGGCACCTTGTATAAGTTGTATAATGTTGTTTTAATCCAATGACTGATACTGGACTAGCCTGGCCTTAGCCATCCGTAAACTCAATCATTATTTCCCTACATGAATGAAATGAAATTTGTATAATGGTGTGGTAAGACCAGGCTACTACTGGATGGACCTGCTAAGGTTTTATACAACCTAATTGTGTTAAATATATACAAGCAGTAAAATATCAGTAAGTTATCCAGGAATAATAATAAACTAAACTAAAAGAGTGTTTCCTTAGTTAACAACAGAATGTCTAGCCTGACTCTCGCCAGACCCTTGTTGTTTGCTGAGCTTCACGCATGGGCCCAGGAAATCTCAATAGGAGATGTATTTCAGATCAGAAGGCGGGGTCTTGTAAAAAAAATCATTGTATGTGATTGGATAAACCACTTGTCTGTTATTTGAATGACATGCTACTTCAACCACACACATCGAAGCACACCTCACTTCGTAGATGGCAAGATTATCAAGCTCAAAACCTGCAAGAATAACACCCAGAATGATTTTTTGGCAAAAAAGTAATGCAAATCAACTTCGGCTATCATGATTATGTTTATTGTCTTTTTGTCTATTTACAGTATTACCTACTAGTTGCCTGAAACAAATGTATGAGGGAAACCACCCAACCTGGCAACCCTCCCAATTAATGTAGTTTGAAAGAAGTTAAACCAATACCTAAACCAAACTTTACACAAACATTTTACTCTTAAAACCCACATAAAACATGGAACTATCAACATCTCGCCTCATTTTAGTTCTTTTTTTTGCTATCTTGAAGGATTTTGCATTGCCTTCGATCCCAGACCCTTATGTTCAGCGACATGTGTAGCATGGCGGAACTACAAAGGTCTGGCAACAGTCAGGCTACAGAATTCACAATTTAAATGAAACACAATCTTTACTTTGTTTTCATGTCTTTGAACTTTAAATAATGGCTGCGTGTGAAAAAGATATGTTACTTAGGAAAACAAGCAGAATATGCATCTATGGGTATCAGTTCACCTATGCAAGCCATCTGAAACCCACAGCTGCAATGAACACAACACAGAACATACTTAACTAGCCTATTAGCTAAATGTTTGTTTAAGAAAAGGCAGAAAAGACCTTTGCAGCTCTGTCTATGAGCCGTCTGCTGGGGGTCAGGGATTATGGGAAATGAAGCTGTCCATATGAATACCTGTATGACCAGCTCGTCATAGAAGGAGGCGGGGTCACAGTCAGTGTCTGTGGGGGGAGGGGGCACGGCGTTGGGGAACACGGTGGAGATGCGCAGGGGCTTGGGTGGAGCTCGCGGGTGCAGCTGTCCATCAGATCCACGCAGAGTCCCTCCTCCACCTGCATCACGCACACACAATAAGATTAAAATTAAGATCAAGAGATCCTTTTTTTGTCCCACAGTGGGGAAATTTCAGTGTTGCATCACAAGTTATAGAACAGTAGGAAAGAGGATTACACGGCACAAGTTAAGTGAACAATAGCTATACTAATTAAAATAAAACAAAATCTCTAACTCTAGTATCAATAACAAGTATAAAATCTCTATCTTGAAAATAATATTAAAAGAGGTGTAAAAGTTTAACATTTGGCAATAAGAGGCAAGTATAAAGTACCGTTTATTCTAGTGCAAGCAAAGTGTAGTTATATGTTTGCATCTGTAGATGTTAGCAGCAGTATGTTTACATCTGTACATTAGCAGCAGTATGTTTACATCTGTACATTAGCAGCGGTATGTTTACATCTGTACATTAGCAGCGGTATGTTTACATCTGTACATGTTAGCAGCGTTATGTTTACATCTGTACATTAGCAGCAGTATGTTACATCTGTTACATCTATTAGTCAGTGACTCAGTAAAGTGACAGTGACATGTGGTTATTGATAATCTGATATAAGTTAAGGATATTGCAACGATGCATAGCATGAGGGATCAAGTTGGCAATGTTCATTAGTCCTTATTGTTTGTTGTACAGTCTGACAGCAGCAGGAAGGAAAGACCTGCGGAACCTCTCCTTCACACATTGAGGATGAATAAGTCTCTCACTGAAGCTGCTCTCTAGAGCAGATAGTGTCCTGCAGGGGGTGACAGTCATGGTCCAGCATAGATGTTAGTTTGTCCCAGGACCCTCCTGTCCCCCACCTGCTGCACTGTGTCCAGGGAACAGCCCTGGACTGAGCTGGACTTCCTGATGACCTTGTCCAGCTTCTTCCTGTCCCTCTCTGTGATGCTGCTGTTCCAGCAGACCACACCGTACAAGATGGCTGATGCCACCACAGAGTCATAAAAGGTCTTCAGGAGTGGCCCCTGCACTCCAAAAGACCTGAGCTTCCTCAGCAGGTAGAGTCGGCTCTGGCCCTTCTTGAAGAGGCCGTTTGTGAGTCCAGTCCAGCTTTTGGTTCAGATGAACACCCAGGTACTTGTAAGAGTCCACTCTCTCAATGTCCCTTCCCTGGATGTTAACCAGGGAGGGCGCGGTAGAGTGACGTCTGCGGAAATCCACCACCATCTCCTTGGTCTTCCCCACGTTGATGAGGAGGTAGTTCCACTGACACCAGTCCAAAGTCTTGTATAACTCCTCTGTACTCTGCATCATCGTCCTCGGAGCTGAGTCCGATGATGGCAGAGTCGTCGGAGAACTTCTGGAAGACACAACCGTCCGTGTTGTGTCTGAAGTCCGCAGTGTAGAGGGTGAAGAGGAACGGAGCGAGGACAGTTCCCTGGGGGCCCCCCACACTGCAGGTCAGGACCTCAGACACAAAGTCCCTAGTTCTCACAAACTGGGTCAGTCTGTGAGGTAGTCCAGAATCCACTCAGACAGGTCGTAGTCCACTCCAGCTGTCTCCAGGATGTCTGTCATATAACCGAAATCATTGAAGTAGGAAATATGTTTAAGTGGTAGAAGTGAAACATTACATGCAGCATTAAATGTAGCATTAAAGCTGGGGTTAACTTCTTTAATTTGAAAAAAAGTTAGGTAGTAGCTATTTTTGAGATAATGAGAAGTTTGTAAGTAATCAACGTGACGTATCCTGGCTTATCACTATGGCAAGGACATGAAAAAGGAGTGGTCTGGAGCAGAAGAAGGCTTCTGGTGTGAATAGTATGCTTGAAGTTGTATGTGCGTCTTCTGTTACAAGTCTTTTTTAATCAATAATTTTATTTGTTCTTATAATCTTGATCTTATGTTCATGGCTGAAACTTGGCTTGACCAAAATACAGGAAATGCAGCAGGTGGTGATGAATGCAGTTCATCACCACCAAATTTCAAATTTGAATCTGAAATACGGGAAAACAGAAAGGGGGGTGGCATAGCTGCCATTTTCAGAGACCACTTTGTCTCCCATAGAATGTCTCTTGGGAAGTTTTCGTCATTTGAATATGTGTCTTTTATTTATTATTTATTTATTTATTTATTTGAATGGGACAGTGCATGTCAATGAACAGACATTAAAAACATGAATGTAAACATGCCAGATTATAGCCAAAGGCTAATTTCCATCTGTAGTCCCATAGGGTCAGGGTCACACGGGTCAAATGCAGCAACATTAACAGAAACAAGAGGAAAATGTCTAATACACACATCAGATTATTGCACACATCCCGTTAATACACACATCTCATTTTTGCATACATCTCATTATTGCACACATCTCAGTATTGCACACATCTCAGTATTGCACACATCTCAGTATTGCACACATCTCATTATTGCACACATCTCATTATTGCACACATCTCATTATGGCACACATCTCATTATTGCACACATCCCGTTACACACATCTCATTATTGCACACATCTAATTATTGCACACATCTCATTTTTGCATACATCTCATTATTGCACACATCTCAGTATTGCACACATCTCAGTATTGCACACATCTCAGTATTGCACACATCTCATTATTGCACACATCTCATTATGGCACACATCTCATTATTGCACACATCCCGTTACACACATCTCATTATTGCACACATCCCGTTATTTTACACACCCCATTACTGCATAACATCCTTGCATTCAGTGGCGGCTGGTGGAATTTTCTACTGGGGGGGCTATGAATATGATGACTAGATATATACCAGCAGTAAGTAAGTTTACATTCATGGCCTCGCAGGGCAAGTTCAAATGCACCACAGAATTTGACACAGTCTATTATTTTTGATAGGATGTGCCTATTCTTGTCAACCTCCTCATTGTGCTTTCTGATCCCTACCCTGTAGCTTTCATCCAGCTGGGATGAAATATTTATCTTCCCAAACATAGCTAATTTGAGGGCATTTTGCATGTGGATACCAGTCTGCTCATGCTTCTTTGCCTTTTCTAAAAAGTGCTTCAGATCAGTCATACCTGTCTTGATCCATGCTGGGTCAGATCCTGATGTTTGAAACAAGAGGCATGGAAAGCAAAATAAAGCATTAGCCTCGCTACATGCTGCTAGCCAAGATTTGGCGCTGAACCAGGTCCTGGAAAAAGTACGAGTGTACCGTCTCCCCCTGTCGCTGGACTGCTGACTAATGGTAATATTTGGCTGATCAGGTCCAAGCTCTTTAACCTCAACCTTCTCCTGGTATGATCTTCTCTCAAACGGTATTGTTTTGAGTGATCTAACTGAATTATTCTTTTTCTCGTTCTCCATTTTGCGTCTCTTTACGTTCGTCTCAAACTCCCACAGCTTGACCTGTCAATCACTGTAAACGGACGTCACAGACAGTGACAGTACAGGTCGCGGGCGATCCCGCCCCCTCAGGGCGCACTTCTCCTGCGCCCCCAAATCGTCTTATCTCTTGCATTGAAGAGGAGCTACTGCGCATGTACAACTTTTAACGAGAGTCCATAGACGGCTCAGGGCGCAATCTTTTGCGCCCTGAGGCGGAAATACGTCCTCAGTCCGACACAGACAACGCTGATGAGCTTAATCAATCCAACTCAGCATAAACTATAAAGTATTTCTTCCACATCTGAAATAAAACACACATAAATTTCGAAATATTTTAATGTTATTATTTTTTTTTACGTTTTATTCAAGGTAGCATGGCAAGTTGTGAGTGGTGGGGCGGCGCCCTAGCGCCCTCTATTGGCCGGCCGCCACTGCTTGCATTACAGTCAACCAAAACTACACATGTCCTATTTGCAAACAAACCCTATCGCATGTTCCCCAACATTATTAATGGTTGCATGTTTGAGACGACCTTAACCACTCCTTTAGGAGACTTTTAAATGAAGTAAAACTAGGGGCCTCTCTCACAGAAGTCGGCAAACTGTTCCATTGCATACAGCCCTTGTACGACAGAACATTTTGTCCGAAAGTAGTTTTTCTCGCAGGAACCTCACAATCACCTCGACTCATGGCTCTGGTGGTTCGTGAAGTTGAAGTTTTGTATCTAATGGGATCGTTCAGAGGAGGGGGGGCTAACCCATGTAAACTTTTGTATATGAGACAAGCATTTTTGAATTTGATAAAGTTCTCAAAACTTAATAGTTTATATTTTGAGAGGATACTACAATGATGGTAAGTGTAAGGTTTTTTGTCTAAAACTTTCAGTGCTTTTTTGTAGAGCCTCTCAATTGGCTTTAGGATTGTTACACCTGTTAGTGACCAACACGTTTTACAATAGCTTACATGGGAAAAAATCATACAGTGCAAAAACGTCAAGGCAGCTTCGTCTGTTAATGACCTCCTTATATGATTAAAATTGAACTTAATTCTATTACCAATCATCTTCACATGTTTTTTAAAGGATAATGTGGAGTCTATTAACACCCCTAAGTATTTAAATTCTGTTACTAGTTGTAGTTCCTGATTTTCAATAAACACATTGGAGCGGCTGATGTTAGAGGCCTTTTTAGAGAACATCATACAAACAGTTTTTTGTTTGTTTAGGAGCAGACAGGACTTCGTGAGCCAACTCTGAATATTTACAAGTGCTGACGTTAGAATTTTAGCAGCTTCCTCAGATGATTTTGCACTTGCATATATCACTGCATCATCGGCATATAATTGAATGTTTACACCTTTACAAATATTGGGCAGATTGTTTATGAACATGGAGAATAAAATAGGGCCAAGAACTGATCCTTGGGGGACCCCTAGTGGACAGTTGATAAAACTTGATTTCACTCCATTGACCACAGACCCTTGTTTTCTACTAGACAAATATGAAGCCATCCATTTTATGGCTTTCTCAGAAAAATTGAAAAATGGCAGCTTAGACAGAAGTATATCATGGTTCACTACATCAAATGCTTTTCTTAAATCTAGAAATACTGCACCCACATAAGTGTGTCTATCCAGACTACTTTTTACTCGTTCTAAAAACAATGTTATTGCAGTTTCTGTTGAATGGTGTTCACGGAAGCCAAACTGCATAGGGTGCAGAGGAGCCTGGCCATTATTGAGATGTTCTACCAATTGTTTTGCTACCCATTTCTCCAGGACCTTGGAAAAAATAGGCAATATACTTATTGGCCTATAATTGGACACATTGGTTTTCTCACCTGATTTAAAAATTGGCGTAACGGCCATTTTCCAGGTCTGTGGTACAGTGGAGTGTTCAACAGATAAGTTGATTAGATGTGTGATTGGACGTGCAAGGACCTTTTTGTGTGTTTTTAGGAAGGCAGTATCCAAGTCCATGAAGTCTTTGGCTTTGGAGCCTTTCATTTGATTGATTATGGTAATAACTTCTGCTTCAGATATCTTCAGTAGTTCAAGGCTTTGGTCGTTTTCAGTTGTGCTATGAGAAAAGTTAGTTACATTAGTGCTAAAGCAAGCAGCTACTTCTTGTACTGAGCGTACAAAGAAAGAATTAAACTCTTCTGCTAGTACAGCAGGATCTTTCACAAGCTGGTTCTCTATCTTCAGCTCTAGATCACACACATTCTTATTTTGCTTCACTAAAAGTGTATTAATCTTTTGCCATATTAATTTTCTATTCCCCCCTGCATTCTCCATAATTGAAATGAAAAAATTAGCTTTGGCCTTTCGCATTTCTGTTATTACCTTGTTTCTAGTTTGTGTGTAATTCAGCCTGTCTGAGGTCAATTTTGTTTTGATAAACCTTTTCAACAATTGGTCTCTACTTTTCAGTTTGATGCAATTTAAGTTTATCCAAGGGGCAGATTGAGATTTTATACCTCTATGTTTTTGAGGTTTTAAAAAAGATATGTAAACTTGTTCAATTTTGGTCAGAAATGATTCAGAGCATAGATCAATATTGTTACATTAGATAATTTGTTCCCAATTTAATTCCTTTAAGGTCTTTTCTAAGTTTGGTTGCTCTCTATTTGGAATGCCTTTTGTTGTCACCCGTTTGCCTTCTTTCAGGTAATTATAACGTTGTTTGGTTAATTTTCTTGTACAGAAGATGGCATTATGATCAGAAAGACCCGTTAACAGATTATGTGTTTTTGTAATCCTTTCTGGTTTATTTGAGAAAAGTAGATCGATTCTATAGGCTGAATGATTTGTAACTCTTGTTGGCTTCTCAATTAATTGGTTAAAATTAAATTTATCAGTCAATGTTTTCAAACTCCTTCTCTCTTTTTTGTCATCCCAGTTTATGTTAAAATCTCCCAGAATAATTGTTTCTTTCTTTTGGCCGTATAGTGAAAGAAGTTCATTAAACTGGTCATAAAAGTCACTTTTTGATGAGGGTTTACGATACAGACAAATGACAGTTAGTGACATTTCAGCCGAGAGTGAAATGTTTACCCCAACACATTCTAAGGTGATACTGTTAGGCCATAATAGAGATGTGCATTTAAGATTGTTTTTGACGTATAACAGGACTCCACCTCCTTTTCCTTGACTCCTATCATTTCTAAAGGTATTGAAACCTGGAAAGTTTATAGCTGAATCAGGGGAGGAGTTCGTTAGCCATGTTTCAGATAGTCCAAAAAAGTCTATATTGGAGTTACAGATTAAATGTTCCAATTGTTCACGTTTTGACACCATACTGCGTACATTTAAATGACCTCCAAGTAAACCATTTTTCTTACTACTAGAATCCCAAATCTGCCATTTATGGGGAAAGTCCTTGAGAAAGTTGTCTACCTACAGCTTGCTAGATTTCTTATAATCAACAACTCATTTGATGTTTCAGTCCGGCTTTAGACCCCACCACAGCACTGAGACTGCCCTCGTCAAGGTTACAAACGATATCCGGCTGAACACTGACGAAGGCAAAGTCTCAATCTTAATCTTGTTAGATCTGAGTGCTGCCTTTGACACCGTCGACCATGAGATCCTCTTACAGAGACTAGAGGACTGGGTTGGCGTCGCTGGCACTGCCTTAAGTTGGTTTAGGTCTTACCTAGAAGACAGGAAGTACTTTGTGGAGATTGGAAACTGTGTCTCAGATCATATGGCCCTGACCTGTGGAGTACCACAGGGGTCGATCCTGGGACCTCTTCTGTTCAATCTCTACATGCTGCCGTTAGGTCAGTTAATACGCAGAAACAAAGTGTCCTATCACAACTATGCAGACGACACTCAGATCTATGTCTCACTGACTGCAGGAGAACATGGACCAGTGAACTCACTCCTTCACTGAATCCAACAGATCAGTGAGTGGATACAAAACAACTTCCTTCAGCTAAACGCGGACAAAACTGAAATGATTGTCTTTGGTCCCCAGAAACAAAGAGAGAGCGTCATCTGTCACCTACAGTCTTTCTCCCTAAAACCTTCAAATCAGGTCAGAAATCTAGAGGTAATACTGGACTCAGACTTAAATTTTAATAGCCACATCAAATCAGTAACATCAGCAGCTTTTTACCATCTAAAAAACATTGCCAGGATCAAAAACATAGTGTCTAAAGCAGACCTGGAGATTCTTATCCATGCATTTGTCTCCAGTAGGTTAGACTACTGCAATGGCCTGCTCACAGGTCTGTCCAAACAGGCTGTAAAACAGCTGCAGTACATTCAAAATGCAGCAGCTCGAGTCCTGAAAAGAACCAGGAAGTACGACCACATTAGTCCAGTCCTCAGGTCTCTGCACTGGCTTCCTGTGGCTCAGAGAATAGCCTTTAAAACAGCTCTGCTTGTGTACAAGTCTCTCCATGGCCTCGCACCAAAATAAATTAGTGACATGTTAGTCCCATATGAACCAGCCCGGACTCTGAGGAGCACAGGGACTGGACTCCTGTTAGTGCCCAGAGTCAGGACTAAACATGGGGAGGCTGCTTTTCAGATTCATGCTGCTAACATCTGGAACTGAAGATGTGAGACAGGCCTCCTCAATGAGTTTAAAACCAGGTTAAAGATAGTTCTGTTTAGCTGTGCATACAACTGAGGGATTTTATATTTTTATCTTTCTTTTTAATGTTCTGTGATTATTTATGATTTTAAGGCTTTCTTATTTTGTTCAGCACTTTGAGTTGCCTTGTGTATGAATTGTGCTATACAAATAAACTTGCCTTGCCTTGCTAGACCTATGTTATGTCACGTTATCTTTTGAAAACTTGACTTCACAGTAAACATCATCAAACATAATGTAAACATAGCAGAACACAGTTGTGAGGAGTAAGTTAGAGGAATGACATTATTCAGTCTGTAGAAACGAGTTTACCAGGGGGACAGGGCCTTGAGTGTCCTGTCCGGGGGCTCAGCAAAGGCTCACTTCCCGTACGGAACACTGGGGAGAGAGGTGGGGGCACTCTGCTTTGTTCTTTTTTCTGTGGGACACCTGGACACAAGCAGTGTCAGACTTTTTTCACACACAATAAAACTATTCTATAGTCTCATGTGTGGAGCGCAGGCTTTTCAACACCATTATTGGCAGACATGGCTTATTTTTATATAGACAAAACAAAAAATATATCAGAACTCGGTTGGAAAATTTACACTGAGCTGCTTTTTGAAAATGTTAGTGTTATTAGTATAGTGTCCAGGGCAGACTATAGTGTCCAGGGCAGACTTGGAGATTCTTGTCCATGCATTTGTCTCCAGCAGGCTAGACTACTGCAATGGCCTGCTTACAGGTCTGTCCAAACAGACCTGTAAGCAGCTGCAGTACATCCAAAATGCAGCAGCTAGAGTCCTGACAGGAACCAGGAAGTATGACCATATTAGTCCGGTCCTCAGGTCTTTGCACTGGCTTCCTGTGGCTCAAAGAATAGATTTTAAAACGGCTCTGCTTGTGTACAAGTCTCTCCATGGCCTTGCACCAGAATACATTAGTGACATGTTGGTGTCATATGAACCAGCCCGGACTCTGAGGAGCACAGGGACTGGCCTCCTGCTGGTGCCCAGAGTGAGAACCAAACATGGGGAGGCTGCGTTTCAGATCCATGCAGCTAAGATCTGGAACAATCTCCCTGAAAATGTGAGGGAGGCGTCTACTCTGTCAATGTTCAAATCCAGGTTAAAGACTGTTCTGTTTGCCTGTGCATACAACTGAAGGATTTTATCTCCATTTTTAATGCACTGCTGTCATTTATTTATTTTTTTTAAATTTCTTGTGTAATTTTGAAAGTTTTAATGGTTTTATTCTTTTGTGTGATTTTAATGTTTTTAATTGTGTTTTAATCTTTTGTGTGATTTTAATGTTTTAATTGTGATTCTGGTGTTTGTTTTATGTGATGATTTGTGATGTGGACTGTGAAGCGCTTTGTGTTGCCATGTGTATGAAAGGCGCTCTACAAATAAACTTTGATTGATTGATTGATTATTAACAGTCACCTGTCTTCAGGTAAAAAAACTACCACTTCTGTGGTTTAAGCCTCACTCACATAGTATACAGTAAGGGCCCTTTTGTGCGCACTAGATATACTTTGACTTTCTTAAGTCTCTCTTTTCACACACGCTGCTGTTTAATCACTCAACATACGTACTATAACCCACATGAAAAAAGATGTGCTGAAAGCCAAACTAACGCATGATCTCTGCAAACAGAACAGATTAGTAAATATTTGACCCGTGTAGCCAGCGTCTGAGTGCGGTGTTGTCTGGTGTAGACATTGGTCCGGTCAACTGCATTGTTTTAGCTTTCGCTAGCTAATATATTAATAATTTTACCGTGATAAAAAACGTCAGAGCTAAGAAGAGAGAAAAAAAACGTCTGTCTGACGCAGTGCTGGTGTTTTCCTGAGTCTGATGGCAGTGATACCTGAGCGCAGGTTGCTGTCAGACTGCGCAGACTGCAGTGATGCTGAACAGCCCACATTCTCCAGGTTTGCAGGGTGACTTCCACTTCTGCACAAACAACAAACATGCATGTGGATCATCTCTCAGTCTCAACCACAGCCACAAAGCTGCTTAAAGCTGAGACACCTACATTTCTTTTAGTTATAATTAATACTTTTTCAAAACAGTTCGGTACCATCACTAGTTTTCACTTGTAATTTTGCCTTTTGGGACATCTTTTGATAAAGCAAGATAGAATTTTTCTTGTCTCCGTAGGAAATTATGTCTTGGGCTCACTGCCCAAGATGAGCCATTTCAGACGGAAAACTGAGAAGGAGTCGACCACCCTCACACAGCCAATCAGCTCTTAGCCCAAAGAGTCAAAAAGGGACATACATGGCTAGTTCTTACATAAAAGATAACATGTTATCTAAGAAGATGAGCATGTTGTGGTTGTAGTCTGATTTGTTCATTTGTTCATAGTAATTTTAATGAGACATTTCTCTTATTAATATTTTAAGTAATAACAAATATTTCATAGATAAATACACATTTAGAAACAGATGTATTCAAGTATATACTTCTTGCAGTAGAGTATATAGTATTTCATACTTTGCGTTTTGAATAAATAATAGAGATTTAGATAGTATCAGAATCAGAATCAGAATCATTTTTATTGCCAACGTAAGTAACGGGAGGTCACAGACTTGGAAATTGCTTTGGCTCAGTGCAACAGTCAAAAAGAGATAATAAAAATAAGAATAAAAAACACTTCTAAAGAATAAATTTAAATTTAAAATAGAGTTACAGTTACTATTTACAATATACAAGTGCACATGGTGCACACAATGTAAGGTGACAGCAGTACAGTGAAGTAAAGTGACGTATGATGGGCAGTAAAGTGACTTTATAAAGGGCGGGGGGACAGGTTAAGAAGTGTTCAAGAGTCCAACAGCAGAGGGGAAGAAACTGTTCTTGTGGCGGGAGGTTCTAGTCCTGATGGACCGCAGCCTCCTGCCTGAGGGGAGTGGTTGGAATAGTCCATGTGCAGGGTGAGAGGGGTCGGCTGTGATACGACCAGCCCGGCCTCGAGCTCGGGCGACGTACAGGTCCTGCAGCGATGGAAGGCTGCGGCCGATCACTTCCTCTGCAGAGCGCACAATGCGCTGTAGTCTCTGTTTGTCCCTGACTGTGGCTCCAGCGAACCACACGGTGATGGAGGAGGTGAGGATGGACTCGATGATGGCCGTGTAGAACTGCACCAACATCTGTGCAGGCAGCTTGGCTTTCCTGAGCTGCCGCAGGAAGTACATCCTCTGCTGGGCCTTCTTGATGAGGGAGCTGATGGTCGGCTCCCACTTGAGGTCCTGGGTGATGGTGGTGCCCAGGAAACGGAAGGACTCCACAGAGGTGATGGGGGAGTCCATCACGGAGGGTGGGGGCGGGGGGACAGTGCTCTTCCTGAAGTCCACAATCATCTCCACTGTCTTCTGGGCGTTCAGCTCCAGGTTGTTACCACTGCACCAGGACACCAGCCGGTCCACCTCCCTCCTGTAGGCGGACTCATCGTTGTTGGAGATGAGTCCAATGAGGGTGGTGTCGTCCGCGAACTTGATCAGCTTCACGGAGTCGTGGCTGGAGGTGCAGTGGTTGGTGTACAGGGAGAAGAGCAGGGGAGAAAGAACACAGCCCTGTGGGGCTCCTGTATTTATAATCCGAGAGTCCGAGACATTCTTCCCCAGATATATATAGTTGTGCTTCACTTATTTAGTGTGTTCCTCTTTCCAACTGTTTCCTCTTTCCAACTGTTTCCTCTTTCCAACTGTTCTGTAACTTGTGACGTAACACTGAAAATTTACCAGTGTGGAATAAAAGATTAATTCTAAATATTGTTGGTCCTAATATTGAACCGGTGGAAGACTACAGTATCTTTTTAAATTCTGTTTTGTACCCATCTTTACAAACTGTTGTCTCTCTTTTACAGTAAGTAACTCTTTAACCATTCCCCTGCTAAACTTAGAATCTCATTCATTGGTAGTTTAGTAAATAGAATTTAAGGATTAATTAAGCCCTTACCCTAACCGCTATTTCAATCAATGAATGTTCCAACAGCAAACTTTTTTTGAATAGTGAATTTGTTATATGCTCTTTACCATGTTGTTATATGCTCTATATCAACAACAATAGATGAACATCTTCCTGGTCTAAACCATTTTGACCTTCATTGAGGACGCAATAGGTTTTTAAAATTTTAGAGACCTGGAGAAGAAGAGAGACTAGCCTATCCATCCATCCATCCATTTTCTACCCCTTAATTCATTTCTGGGTTGTGGGGTGGCGAGAGATGCCACCCAGTACACATAGCACCAGCCCCTCACTGATCCTCCTGCAGGTGGTGAGTCCACAGGAGGACGGCCACTCTATGGTATAGCCTTGATCTTTCATTGGGGGCTTCAGGCAAAGTGGGGTAAAGTGTCTTGCCCAAGGACAAAACGACAGCAGTCATTGGTGGAAGTCGGTGGAGAAGGTCTCATGGGTGGGCTCGAACCCACGACCTTCAGGCTCAAAGGCCAATGCTCTACCAACTGAGCCAAGGTCACCCCCTAGCCGACAGTGGCTAGCCTATAGTTAGTAAAGACATAATTGCCTCCTGTTTAAAATTAAGGTAAAATATTCAAAACCCTGAAACATTTAAATTTTCTTTGGAAATGTTCCAGCCTGCACAGAAATATTACATACGCTAGTGGTGTTAGAATGCTATCAATCACAAGTTTTATAAACCTCATATCAATCACGAAACAATTAGTAGAAGCTATCCATTCATCCATCCATCCATTTTCTTCCCCTTCATCCATTTCTGGGTCAGAGGGGGTGGCAGTCAGAGCTGCACCCAGTACACAGAGCAACGACTTCAAGTGTGTTTCTTTGAAGAGTTGATTTAAAATTACGAGGCCTTTAGCTGCCCCTCTCTTAAAACCTGATCAAATATATAAGGCATAAAATCTACATTCCCCACTATGGGCATAGCTCGAGAAATTGTTCCTGTGTTCTTAAGCATTTTCTTAACTTCTGCCCAGACCTTTACAGTGTTTTAAACCATTCATTTTCAAACTTATATTATTGATTTGTTTTAAAGGGTAGGGCAGACAACTGTGTTCCCTTACCTTCACCTTGTTCAATCTGACACCAATTTACCTCCTCGTCCCCACCAATCCAGGTCACAATTGCTGCTAGTTGCGTTGCCCAATAATAAAGTTTTAAATTTGGCAATTCCAAGCAGCCCTTATTTTTTGTCAAGTGAAGTGTTTTGAGTTTAATTCTGGGCCTTTTATGTTGCCATATAAATTGAGAAATTAATTTGTTTAGAAATTGGAACACTTATGAGCAGAGACTGGAAGAGAAATAGAAGACGAGAAAGCAAATTCATCCTCACCATTTCAACTCCAAAAAGAGACAAGGGGAGAATTTCCCAACGAGTCAGATCCTTACGGATTTGCTTATTTAGCCTATTATAATTTGCATCAAAAAGTTTTGTGGTTTCAGGTGTAATAATAATACCCAAGTACCTAAATCCATGTTTAGACCAGCGAAATGACATTTCTCATTTAATATGTGTCGTATGGTCTCTGCCAGCTAATATCCTGCTTTGATAACACGTGTTAAACTTGTCATAATGTTTAGTAATGTATTGCACATAAGTATTTATTATTTATATTTAGTTTAAAATAACTGCTTTGAGGCAGGCAGTATCTGTGCCTCACTGATGGGAGCGATAGTGAGCATGAAGTTCATACTCGAGTTGGTAATAAACAATCAGTCCGATATACTATTTCTTTTACTGGAAAATGGATGATTTGGTTGATGTTAAGATTTCTTTCTAAACAGGACTTTCAATCAAAGCAAGTAATAATATAAATTGGGAGGTCGCCGTCGGACTTACGAGGTTTGTTTCAAATTGTGTGATTGTCAAACACTGCTAAAGAGTTCTGCAACTTGTTTAAGTTATTGTTCTTGTTCCTCGCGTCCCTCCCAGCTCGAGTCACATCCCTCCCTCCTCGCGTCTCTCCCTCCTCGCGTCTCTATCAGTCCTCGCGTCTCTATCAGTCCTCGCGTCCCCCCCTCCTGTGCTTCTCAAAGATGTTGTGTGATACGGACAGAAAGTCAGCAGCTGGAGTTGTTGTGGGATTATTAAAATATGCTGTTTGTGGACGTTTTTGCATTGGCAATTTTTTTAACTCCGATTGTAAATCTTACTTTTAAAGTCAGTGCCTCCCCAATTACAAACCTCGCAGCCATTTTTTTGCACTCTGGAGGTACGTCTCCATGAAACAGCCCCTCAGTCTCATCCTTAGATACTGTATTTGCCTACAGTATTGTGAGCATATCCGTGTTGCGCGCTCACCTTAGCAGGGGGTTGAGCACTTGCAGCATGTCGGCATGTGCTGTGCTGAAGCTGCGCCGTTTGGCCCAGCCCGAGTTGCCGTTGTGGCCACCCTCCTCCCTGCGCTCTCCAATCACACGCAGGGGCACAGTTCGAGCAATGGGCTGGAAGATTACCGCTCCAGACGCTTTGGAGATGGGCCGCCTGCCACCCACGTAGAAGCGTATCAGAGCTGGGACGCTATCGAAGCGATCCTCCTCAAACTGGAACAGCTCCCTTGAGTATCCCTAAACAAACGTGTGATTCTCGTTGAGCCTTCTCTAGAAACTTGTGATTACCTTCATTAGCCTGACCAATCAGAAAAAAGCCTGTCTCTCCATTGGGGAATTTTGAAACACATCAGCAAACAGAGGACGTGCTGACAGCTGTGCTCCAGCTTAAAAAAAGTTGTAGTAAAATAGAAAAAAACATGTCAAACTACTACAGTACATAGTTCAAAGATCTGCTCAATCTCAGCTGCCAATCGGAAACTGGTGCTGAAAAGAAGTGGGTGTGGCTTGTCAGCAAATAAATCCTGGTGTCCTTATCAGAATTGAAAAACTCCAAAACAGAAATTGCCATCATAGCAGTCCTGCTTTTCTCTATTCTGGTTCGAATTATGAGTCTGAGTAGAGTTTGAATTTGCTCATTATGTACGGTTTATTACGGGTGCTCTGGATTTCCATACCACCATGAACAATAGGTCAAATTCTCCAGCTCAGCCCCTGACCAAGAGGATCAAATATGTGGAGATGGGTTCTTCAGCGTCGTCCTGAGAAAAATACTACTGACGGCCCCTAGTGCAGGATGGATCAAATGCAGAAAAATATATCCATGAATTACATTTTACAGTGCTGCTTTGTACCTTTTTGGGTCGCAGAACCACTCGGATTATTTTAAAGTGCATAGAGTCATTTTTCCAGCAACAGCTCAGGACGTAATCCCCTGGAGCTGAACTGGACTCACGCACCAGGAAGTCCCCATCTCTCCTCAGCAGAGCCACTGACGCCTACACACACACACACACACACACACACTTATTTACAGTTATGTACATACTCTGCTCAGAAAAGTGCGGGGGTAAAGAAACATTGCAAAAAGGAACCTCTATATTTCGATATTTATTTTCCCTTACTGCAGAAAATAAACAAAGGAATGTGAAAGACGGTTGGAGGCCCTCTGAGAAAGTCCTTTGATGAAAGGGACGCTAACACGTTTCAGCCAAAAACTGTCTCACCGGCACAGGGGTAATATAGGGACAAGTTCTTGGTACTAGTATGTGGGGAAACGTTTTGAACTGAGGCTGGGTTGGCTGGATGCTCACATTTAGCTTATAAATATTCCAGTTCCTATGAACTCCTGCACATGCTTGGAGCCAGTGTGGTTAGGCAGACCGCACCTCTCTGGTGAGGGTCCCGTGGTACCAGGCGTGGCTCCTCAGATCATCTGTGCTCAGCTTCAGTTCCTCCTCCAGTTCTTTCTTCAGCGAGTCCATCTCCCTGCGTGTGCTGCGGAACACCTCACACACACACAAACACACATAGATATATAAGTGTCATGCTAAAAAAACAGAAGTCAAGCTCACTGCTTGTGCTTGTGATCTTGTCAGTGAGGGTAAGACAAGGAGTAAATCAGGACCTAATGGACCACAAGTAGGGAAGTACAAATACCACACTGGTCAAAATACTAACCCTATACATCCCTTATTCCATCAGAGCTGCCCCCTTTGTAGAGAGTTTTAAATCGCAGCTAAAGACACATTTCTTTGCTTTGGCTTTTTAACACAAGCAATGTTGAAACATTTATGATAGTGTCCTGCATTTTATTTTATGCTGAATGTTATTTGTGTGTTGTATTTTTACAATGTCTGGTAAGCACTTTGTGACAGTCCTGTCTGTTTTAAAATGTGCTATATAAATAAACTTGACCTTGACCTTGACCTATATTCTGTTGTTAATATTATAACATTAACAACATATTATAATATTATTATGTTTCTAAAAAATAACCTGCAATAATCAAAATCCACAAAGAAACAGCTTTATGTTTTCATTCTGTATAACTCCTCAGCACAGACTTTATACACTCTTCTAACCACCTGATCTCACGACTGCTGAAGTGCCATCACAAAGATATGAAATCTGTTCATTGTAGGTCTGAGCTTACACTGAAAAATACAGCTAAAAAGGACACCGCGCAGGACTGAGGGCTACTGGAAGACTGCGGTAGTCCTCTGAAATAATCACTGCGGTGCACACCAGTCAGAAATAGAGGAAACTAAAATAATCTGCAAAACAGCGAGGCCGCGAAATATAACAACCTACCACTGTATTGCGATTTTGTCTCATGATCGATAGATATGTTCATTTAAATCAGTCAACAATACCCAACCTCTCCTTTCCTCTTTCAATTCAAGCACAACTCATTTATTAAAAGGTACTATATTTAGCTTTTTGCTAATTTTTCACAGTCCATCCTAAGCATGTGTGTTAATATTTCACATATACACAGATACACCACACAATTACCACTATTGAAACGAGCTGATCTCTCCTCCTTCCCCTATGAGCTCCTCCCCCCACCCGCGCGGTGACGTAGACTCACGCTGACATTGTAAACAAACATTCAGCTTTCACCGGTACATAACAATTTCACGCCTGAGACTTTTTAAAAATTCTAACAATGGCAATCTGTCCTCAATCCAGAATCAGACCCAAATTATTTAGACATATACAACAAGTTATAGCACTGTACTTAAAGATATAGGCTCCTCATTACCATCTTTTATTGTGGGAAAAAACCATGTTTCAAGATAAGCAGTTTCAAGGTAAACAAGCAGTCCTTGGTGAAGTGTCACTTGCAGATGAACAGATTTGTTGCGGATTTCCCCATGAATGGATAGTCCAGCCACATTCACAGAATTCTTGGTCTTCGGACCAAATAGTGGCAAGGCAAGGCAAGGCAAGTTTATTTATATAGCACAATTCATACACAAGGCAATTCAAAGTGCTGAACAAAACAAGAAAGCATTAAAATCATAAATTATCACGGAACATTAAAAAGAAAGATAAAAATATAAAATCCCTCAGTTGTATGCACAGTTAAACAGAACTGTCTTTAACCTGGTTTTAAACATTGTCAGAGAGGAGGCCTGTCTCACATCTTCAGGAAGACTGTTCCAGATTTTAGCAGCATGAATCTGAAAAGCAGCCTCCCCATGTTTAGTTCTGACTCTGGGCACTAACAGGAGTCCAGTCCCTGTGCTCCTCAGAGTCCGGGCTGGTTCATATGGGACAAACATGTCACTAATATATTTTGGTGCGAGGCTATGGAGGGACTTGTACACAAGCAGAGCTGTTTTAAAGTCTATTCTCTGAGCCACAGGAAGCCAGTGCAGAGACCTGAGAACTGGACTAATGTGGTCGTACTTCCTGGTTCTAGTCAGGACTCGAGCTGCTGCATTTTGAATGTACTGCAGCTGTTTTACAGCCTGTTTGGACAGACCTGTGAGCAGGCCATTGCAGTAGTCTAACCTACTGGAGACAAATGCATGGATAAGAATCTCCAGGTCTGCTTTAGACACTATGTTTTTGATCCTGGCAATGTTTTTTAGATGGTAAAAAGCTGCTGATGTTACTGATTTGATGTGGCTATTAAAATTTAAGTCTGAGTCCAGTATTACCCCTAGATTTCTGACCTTGTTTGAAGGTTTTAGGGAGAGAGACTGTAGGTGACAGATGACGCTCTCTCTTTGTTTCTGGGGACCAAAGACAATCATTTCAGTTTTGTCTGCGTTTAGCTGAAGGAAGTTGTTTTGCATCCACTCACTGATCTGTTGGATACAGTGAAGGAGTGAGTCCACTGGTCCATGTTCTCCTGCAGTCAGTGAGACATAGATCTGAGTGTCGTCTGCATAGTTATGATAGGAAACTTTGTTTCTGCGTATTAACTGACCTAACGGCAGCATGTAGAGATTGAACAGAAGAGGTCCCAGGATCGACCCCTGTGGGACTCCACAGGTCAGGGCCATATGATCTGAGACACAGTTTCCAATCTCCACAAAGTACTTCCTGTCTTCAAGGTAAGACCCAAACCAACTTAGGGCGGTGCCAGTGACGCCAACCCAGTCCTCTAGTCTCTGTAAGAGGATCTCATGGTCGACGGTGTCAAAGGCAGCACTTAGATCTAACAAGATTAAGATTGAGACTTTGCCTGCGTCAGTGTTCAGCCGGATATCGTTTGTAACCTTAACGAGAGCAGTCTCAGTGCTGTGGTGGGGTCTAAAGCCGGACTGAAACATATCAAATGAGTTGTTGATTATAAGAAATCTAGTAAGCTGTAGGTAGACAACTTTCTCAAGGACTTTCCCCATAAATGGCAGATTTGAGATGGGACGATAGTTGTTAAGTACCGTAGCATCCAGACTGCTCTTTTTTAGCAGGGGCCTGATGACTGCAGTTTTCAGGGCCTTTGGGAATATTCCAGAATGAAGGGACATGTTTACTATCTGTGTGAGTGAAGGTAACAGACTGCTCAGAACAGACTTCAGAAATCTAGTGGGTAGTGGAGGAGCTCAAACTGGAGATTATCTCTTGGACAGTTTTATCATTTACAGGTGCAAAGTGAGTTAGCTCAGAGAGCCTTTCTGGCTGTTGGATGGTTATCTGTGGATTGGAGACAATGGCGTTTTTGATGCCTTGAACCTTGTCATTGAAAAAATTAGCAAACTCATTGCATTTACGTTTGGAAGTAAGCTCTAATGGCATTCAGAGCACGGATCTATTCTAATAACTGGATAGGGTATTACTAGCTTGGAGCTGAAGAACCCATGTGCTCGGGGGATTCTTGCGGAACTGCAGACTGAACAAGACTAAATTCACGTGGGCTACCCAGAAATTTTCCCCATATAACTAAATGTAAAATAAAACAGCGCGACCTCAGCTGACAGAGAACCTACAGCTTTCATAAAGATCGGATTTTGTGGGGATTTTAGTGTCACTTGTAATCCTGAACTGTTTTTCTTCTTAAATCCTTCAGTTTTCTTTAAATGTACACTTAGGTGCCATAAACTCTGCTCGCCTGGCTCTTAATCTAACTCCCGCTCTGATGAGGTGGTCAGAGCGTGGCCAAGCCCCTCTGTGCGCCACACACGCGTATTTCGCGCAACACATCATGGGAGTTCATCCACTGCGCAGAATCGGGAGGACCAGACGATGCCCAAATACAGGCGAGTTTACCATGGATCTTTGCAAGTTCCAGGCGAGTTCCGCTAATATGCGCCACTGAGCACAAACCATTCATTTGAATACGGCGCCATCTTGGATCGCCGGGGCTTGGGGCAGAGCTTGGCAGTGGCATTGTGGCTCGTGAAAAGTGAAAGTGATTAAGACGTATTTGAAAATAAATCACGCCATTTCAGAACAGAAATGGACAGAAACATGGACTCGTGTTCAGGACCAGCTCCCGTGTCTCCCCGTATCTCTGCCGTGTCTCCCCCCGAAGCGCAACCAAAACTCCCAAAATCAAAGCTCAGATACCTTTTTCCTTTTTCCCCCCATGCATGTTATTTTTGCTCAAAAGTCAAATGTTGTGAACAAATCAAAAAGAACACACAACCGGCCTTTTTCATTATTATTATTTTGCATACTTAGGAGCCATCTGAGTCATCATTTTACTTTTTGAACTGAGAGTGGATTTTGTTGTGTTTTTTTGTTTGACACAGTTAGTGCCACTTTATTTCCAAACTCTTGTTGACTAATTGTTTTGAGAAATAAACGCTAAATGTCAAGGCCTGGAGGTCTTAAGCACTTTGAAGAGAATGACATTATATTGTATATATAGGCCACAGAGTATATATTTCTACATTTTCTCCTGGTGGTGTGCCGCGAGATTTTTTCAATAAAAAAAGTGTGCCTTGGCTAAAAAAGAGGTTGAAAAACAATGGCGCAATATGTGTTACCCAGTCGTGCCTGCAGGGATCAAGAGTGGTCCAGTAGAATAATGTTCATGCCAAGAAGTCTTGAGACATGCCGCTTTTGTCTTGAGAAAGCAGTAAGTCTTTAACAATGAGCACTACACATGCTGGTAGAGTCCTTTCCAGGACAGTCACGTCCACCTCTTCATAGCCATGGTAAGGAATGGCAATTTCATTAGCAGCTGTCAAATTAAGCCACCTACAGTTATTAATTGCATACTTACTGGGGTCAAAATGAGCAGCAAAGAAACTGTGTGTGATAGTGGTCACATTCAAACCTGCGTGTAATAGAGCTGGTACTTTCACACCATTTATTGTCAAGTCCACGACAGAGCATGTGCACACCAGTTGCTGTAGAAGTTTAGGAGGCACCGGTTTCGACCCAAGGTCAACTCCTTTTGATGTCTTGCTCAAAACAACAGAAGGTGCGAGTTTGAGTCTGAGTGAATTGATTGCACTACTGGTCTTTCCTGATGTGAATCACTTGGCCGTGGCCGTCTACAGTAACGGGCAATGTGGCCCACTTTGTCACACCTGAGACGTCA